TTGGATTTTTAGGTACTTTGTTGGGATTTACGGGTTTAACGGGCCACGAAATTATTATTTTAATACCCGGTAATTATTCTTATGACCGATTAATCTTTTCTAAGCATTTATTGGCTCGTTTACAGTACGGATATTAATGTGATTTATTTAATGACATTGTTAAATATAAATAGTGTTATTATCTTAGTAAATGATATCAAACATTACTGTTAAATTAAATAATGCCATGGTTTTAGTCATATAAATTATCCATGATATCTTATGGGATGTTTATACTGTTAAATGATATATAAACCATAATTATTATGCTGTGTGCATTTCAGGAAATAAATGGACTGCTTAATTATGTCACATTTATATTATATGGATGTGTTGCCATGTAGAACCATGTGAGCTGGCTAATAAGTTTAGACTCATTTATACCTTATGCATTCGTTGCAATAGACAGATGTGTGGCTGTCGGGGTATGTGGTTTAATATTATTGGCATGTGTTGCCTAATTGACATGCTCAATATGTTTAGTAATATTATTGGCATGTGTTGCCTAATTTATATGCTCAGTATATTCATCAGTACTTTGAGAGGTGTTATCACTGTGTAGTTCGTTATAGTCTGTGTTGTCAGTACCGTGCACCATGTATAATAGCTGATTTCCCGGGTAGGGAAAGGCGACACTTAACCACCTAGTGTGAGTCTAAGTGATCACCGTCTATTCTGGTTGAGGTCATGTTATACATGGGATAGTTCCCTTAGGATGTATACAGATATAGTACTCATCCGGATATAAATGATTAATTTATTTGATTCTCTGATTTGGGTCATAGTAGAGAGGACTTGCTCATGGGGTTGACCCACCATTGTTGCTATTTCAGGATACGGTCAGTACCCATTCCAAGGTTGAGGTTAGCAGTGAGGGACCATCATCCGAACTCATCTACTCTTACGATCCAGTTCAGGGTAGAAGTTTTATGTACTACTTCAGTTTCAGTTTTTATTTACTTTTGACGTTGAACTCTCAGGGTTATTTAGGGATCCTTGACATAGGATTTCCAAGTTGTAATGGAGTACTGTATTAAATAAGGGATGGATGGATGTTGTATTATTTAGTATTCCTTTCCTGTCTAAATTCTTTTATTATCATCATTTTGTATTCCATGCTTGTATATTGCCAATTGTTTTTGATATCCCTCGTTTTTCGTGTATAAACCTGATCAACTTATGCGTGGAAAATGTGGGGGTGTCACAGCATGTGTAATAATAATAGTGAAAACCTTTTTGCTCTGTAGTGTCGAAAACAGAGGAAACACCTTTCTTTATGTTTTATCCTTTCTTCAAAAGAATGAAAAATATTTTATGTTATAAAAAAACAGAAACATATTACTAAACATTATTTTTGTTTTTGTTTTGCTTTTTTAAAGGCTGGCAACAGAAAACAAAAAATGTTTTCTTTACTAAACACATTTTTAACATTAAAAAAAATTGAAAAACTATTAAAACTTCATAAACCATTAAATCCCTTTTATTTTAATGGTGATGGAAATGGTAATTTGTTTCTTTTATTTAATTTTTTTTTTTTTTAATGATTTGACTTTAAGTTTGGATTTTTTTTTTTTTTCTAGTGTGATTTTTAAGAACTAATTTGGAAGGTAATGGGAATGGTATTTTTTTTTTCTTCCTATTTTATGCTTTTAGTTTAGTTTTTTTTTTTATGAATTAATTTAGAATTTCTTTGAATCATTAAGTTTACCTTTTTTGTAAAAAAAGTTAACTTTTTTTTTACAATAAAATTATAAGACGAGATTTTGTGAAAGAAAAATAAAATAAAATAAAAAAAGATATGTTTTATACCACTAAAACATGATGAATAGGAATATGAAGATTTGACTTAAGTTACATAAAATTAGAGTAGGAGTGAGAGCGAATTTGAGAGCGGGAGCGACAAAATTATGTCATAAATAGTGAAAATTTGACCTAAAACGCATGTGAAGAGCAGAAGTGCGCTCAAAACGTGAGAGGATATCTATTGAGAATAATTGTATGACTTAGAGTTTGACAAGAAAAACAAAAAATAAAAAAATAGAAAGAAGAAAAAGTGTTATTGCACTTACTGGGCAGCAAACAAGCTATCCAATAATCCCCAAACTCTCTGCAGACAATGCAGGGAAGAAAGGTAATAAGCGTGGAAAAGTGATAATCGGAAGAGAAAGATTTGTATTGTTTAGTAAATATTTTGTCATTGAATTTATATTTTAGTTAGTAAAAGATTTACAATGTTTAGTGAAATATTCTGCAATTGAATTCATAAATTTAGTTTAATGGATTTTTATTTTATTTTAATAATTGTGACTAATTTTTGCTTGAAAAATTTAGTAAATAAGGTAAGAAAATAAAAAGTTTAAAATGAAAGTGGTTGATACGATATTAAATGAGAGATTATGCTTTAATGAACTCAAGATCCTTATTGTGATATGTACTAGTGAGTTCGAAGTCTAATTATGGGAAAAGGAAAAACAACAAATCCATGATATTAGCAAAGTGCCAAATGGCCGCAGCGGGTGACAAAATAAATTGTTAGCCAACATCATAGATTTTTTAAATTTTTTTATTTTTATGGTAAAACAAATTCCCCTCCATCGAATTGATTACAGTTCATGATTACATTTTATTCATGAAATGAGTTGGGTTAGTATTAGTCTAGATACGGTAAAATCATTCTACGAACCCAATACATCATACAAATGACATTCCTAACCAGTAATCGTGAGATATTCAAAATTATTTTATCCAAATTAATATTTCTCAAAAGATTAATTTATTAATTCCATTGATTAATAACATGACAAAACTATTAATTTGATTAGTAGAAAATCCTAATCATTCACGGTGCCCTCGAGTCAATGATAAATCAAATAATTATATATAATAAATAAATTTTCAAAATATTATAATCAATTCAAAATTATGACAACTTATATTAAAAACATATATAATCGTTAAACAAATATCATATTAATGTTGTGACTTCACTCTTAGCCTTAGCAAACATGTTTAATAAATCATACAAAAAATAAATAATAATAATAATAAGGTGTGTAAAATATGCTTGAGTGCTTTGTCTATATAGAGATGATGTAGAGTATGCGTGGGACTAACTCAATTCCCGCCTAAAAAATTTACGAAAGTGGATAAGGTATTTAAAATTTTGGGATAAAATTGTTTACATTTTAGAGTTTGAATTTATTTTAGATGGATTTGGGCAAAGGTTTTAGTACCCAATGAACCCGAAAAACTCAAAAAATTTGAAATATAATAATAGTTTATAACTTTTATATTTAAAATTGGACTATTTTTTGTTTCATCAATTATGGATTCATCACATGAGACTATATTTATTATTATAAGACATGTTACAAATAGGTTGATTGATTTTGTTTTTACATCTTTGGATGAGTTGGGCCAATGAACATAACATTTTATTTATTTTAATGTTTATTTGTTAGAACATGATATTTTATTTATTTTAATGCTTATTTATTAGTATGTTAATAAAATTTAGGATGATCCGAGAATCACGAAACTTAGAAAACCGTGATATATAGCTCGGATTGAGACGTGATGGGTTTATCTCGATTTGAGCTTGGTGTGGGCTAATCCCTTAGCTCGCCCAACTTGTCCAAGTCTTACACACTAACGTAGAGCTTCCTCTGAAGCTTCTTTGGCTAGAAGAAATTGGGCAAGAAAATAAAACAAATGAAAAATGAATGAAAAGTTAAGTAAATAAAAAGAAAAGTTATTTTCTAGAGTATTTGGTTTGCATTAAAATTTATTTCAAAAAATTGTAGGAAAATATTAATTTGTTATTTTGGATAGTGATTGAACATACTAAAATTACGATTTCAAATACTAAAAAATAAAATAAATTTATAATTGATGTTGTCTAATTTTAGCAAAGAAATAGTAAAATTATAAGTTACTAAATATAATAATATAATTATTTATATTTAAAGTAAGACTTCATAAAATTTTAATAGGTAGAACTAGAACTAATTATTAGTTTACGAGAAAAGATTTTTTTTGTTTTTTTAAAAAGGGAATAAAAAAAACAGAGATGAAGAAACGGATAATAAAATAAAAAGACATTTTTTTTTCAGGCGAAAATATTATTCATTTATCTAAACTCCAAAAAAAATTTATTTTTCATTTATTTTCTAGTTGATTCCATCTAACTAAAAAAAAAATGCCGAAAAACAAATCAGCAAAAATCTAGCTTCCAAATTCGCGTCAAAATTTCCAATTAAATATTTTTCACAAAATTCTCGTTAATACAAATATGATGGGTTTTAAGTCTTTTTTCACCGCCCCCAAGTTTGCTTCATTTTGAAATTTTAAATTTGTTCATTCGATCTTATTTTCATCTACTTCTTTATACAAAGGAAGCATAAATTTGGCTTTAGTTCCTGTCAATAGGCCTTGCCAGAACAAACTTTAGAGGAAATAAAACAATCCGGTAGGTCCCGTCCCCAGCCAACAGTTGTAGTTGAGGTTTTTTTTAGTCCAAGTCCAAACCTAATGGTAAAAATTATTATACAAGACCATTAAAAATTGGGTTCGACTTGACTTATATTTAATTAACTTGCCTAATAAGTGTTTCCTACTTTAGGTTTGGGTGCTATATTTCTTAAATTTTTTTATTTATTATTTTTTTTTACCCAACCAAATCAGATTGAAAACCTAAAACACAGCCTCAACACATACTTCTGCAACCACGAGATTTGTGACTATTGTTTTGTGTCTTTAGTTGATTCATTTGATATAGCAATTTTTAACCCGAATCACTCTATATATATATATATATATATATATATATATATGGACACACAAGCCGAACCCCGAGCTCATGAAAAAATTGACGAGCCAAGCTCGAGCCGTCAAGCTCGCCCGAGCACAACTCTGGCCCATGCTAGTATTTTCTTTTCAATTCCAATTTTCAAGTTAACCCGCCCAACCTTGCCGACCCGGTTGAACCTGAACCGACTATAACCCTTGCAAGAGTGTAGCCGAAGAATACTTCACTCGTTTTCTTCCTCGGGCTTCATCGCATTCCTTTCTATATTCATCGCATTCCTCTGTATTTCTCCGCTGCAAAGAGGTATGATCTATACAAATCTTGTCGATAAATTCAGTGGCTCTATAAGCTATTGTTGATTTCGATCAATTGTTCAATCAGAGAGTATCTTTTGGATCTACCAGTTTGTTATCGCTAGTCACCTTTATTTGTTGAAAGTTAGGGTTTTTTAATTCTAACTTTTTTATTGAAGTCATGAGAGATTGAGCATGGTTCGATTGACTCGGTAGCTGGAAATTTGGTTATTCCTCTGTTTGGTTGCTGAGAAAATCGTGAAATATAAAGCAAAATAGATTTTGAAAATTCTGGCTTACATTATTTCTGATTACATTCTGATTACAGAAAACCGTGAACCTTATTTTATTAAATAATCATTAGCATAAGAGACCTAGGATCTTACATTTTGGGTGGTGGTGTTGTGGGCAAAGAAAGCATAGGAGACCTAGAAAAGCACAATTTTTTTATTTATGTTTGGATATCTGTTTGCTATATATAACTATGTAAACATGATTAATTGTGGCTTTTAATATTCACTTGTTGTAGATACTAAGCATGAAGCTTGACTTTAGTGGACTTGAATCTACTGTCCCCTTCTCTGCAATGAGCAGTGGCCTTTGTGATGGATTTTCAGCTGGACCATCATTTGAGATTCCTAATACTACTGATGTAAGTTTGATATGTTTGGTTTGGAATTAAGTAAGCTTGTTCTCTGTGGATAAAATTTGTGATTTGTGTTTGATTGAGCTGTTTTTTTTGTTCTGTCATTTCAGTTTGATGGCTTTCAGAAGGAAGCTATACAAATGGTGAAGCCAGCAAAGGGGACAACAACCCTTGCTTTCATTTTCAAGGAGGGAGTCATGGTGGCAGCTGATTCTCGTGCAAGCATGGGAGGCTATATCTGTATGCAATTCATGTCCTCTATTTTAGTTTTTGTCTTGATTTGTGAAATAGACCATTATATATATTATGGGTTAATTGTTCAATGAACTGGTACACAGTGAATTAATGAAGAAAGAAATTCATTATGTGGAAAATTGAGTTTGTAGAGCCATCAGTTACGTTGTAAAATGGTCACACACACACAAACACATTAAGTCACGTTGCATTAAAATGGTATTTGGGTATATTGCCTTGAATTTCTTGTTTTAATAAATCTAAAGATATTTTATATCCATCTCTATATTGTAGCCTTTGTAGGTTTATTTGCAACATGTATGTATGGTTTTTCAGAATAGGAACTAAATGGTCTAGATCCTATTTAATGTTCGTAAGTGTTATTCTGTTGAGATTTGTACCTGATATTATGTACTTAAAATACGAGATATGTAGGATTATTTGTTATGTTAAACAAACTAACGGATTCCCATAGGCCTCTTCTCTTTTGGTGCAAGTTTTCTTTTGCTACCAACCTTAAGTGATTTTTAGGAATTCAATACCTTCTCGGCGTTTTGCACTATGTTTCTGTACATGAATGTAAAGTGTACCCTTTGTGCCTTTTCTATCGTTTCTTCCACTAGACAATGAGTTTTAAGTTGACCTACAAAATAATTATCATACTTGTTCTATGCTAAGCTTCATTGTTGCTGCTGGATTTCTCAGTTTAACAGTTGTTTGCTTTCGTTTCCTTCTTTGTTTGTTGTTTAGTTGTTTTTATGGTTTTTAGGCTGTGGATGTAGTGTTGCTTGTTTTCTTTCCTTTGTATTTTGTTGGCCTTGTTAGGCCTTGCTGTTTCTTCTAATAAAATTCTTATTTACCAAAAAGTAAAAAGAATATAATGCATACTCATGTTGTTTTTGTTGTTGTTATTGTTATTCTGGTCGGTCTATATATCGTATTGTTCAAAAAACAAGAAAATACTATTTCTATCAAATTGACCACATTTGACCAGTGATCAAAATTTTGGTGTCCAAAAAGCCCATTTATGAATCACAAGTAGTTAGTTTGAGTGGCATCTCCTTCCACTGCCAAGGACAGGTGTTAGTCACATCTAGGATTCTTTTGTGTGACTCATTCAAGAAATAAAAAATAAATAAAGGAAGAAGTTGCTTGTTTGAAATTTACTTGACAACAATGTTTCCTCTTACAAATTGCATTTTTTGGCTAGAGTATGGATATCGAACTTTGTGGTGTTTGTCTCGATTGAGACATGGAATGATTTAGTTTATTTGAGTCATATGTTTTTCCATCCCATCAATGTCATTAACTTTTTTTATGAGTACCAATATTAATATCTTTAAGGGTTTAACATGTGGTTGGGATACTTTTGTGTGTCTCACTCGTTAAAGAAAATAAGAAAAAAGCCAGTTGTTTGAAATCTATTTGACATCAATTTTTCCCCTTATGAAATACGTTGTCCGGTTTGAGTATGAAAATTAAAATTTCTCATATTGATCTCAATTTAGTTTCTTTGAATACTATCTATTTTTCTATCACATCAATGCCATTTTTTTTTTTGGATTAGTCTATCTCATCAATGCCATTAACCTACTTTGATACTCCGTTTGGTTCGAGGGATGGAAAAATGGATGGAATGGAGAGGGGGAGGGATGGATGAGGCATCCCTAGGGAAGGGAAAGTGTCTCCCTCACCTTTTTGTTTGGTTGGATTGAATGGATATTAGGAAAGATGAATGGGGTGACACCTTTATTCTGTTTGGTTGGAAAGAAGGGATAGAGAGTTTTTATGTTCCTTTTATCAATATACCCCCATTATAAAAAATTAAACACAGATGGGTTTAACAACAAATTTTTTTTTTTGGAAGGTTAAAAGTGGAAGTTACATAGTTGTTGGTAGTTAACCTTCTTTTTCTCTCCTCTTCCCCCCAATTTTGGGCTGATAGAAAAACATAAAGGAAGGAGAGATGTTCATCACTCCTTGCTTCCTCCTTTCCTCTCTTCCCTTCCCTCCAACCAAACCCAAAAAAACTTTTTATCCCCCCCTCATCCATCCCTCCTCAATCCTTCCTGCCAACCAAACATACCATGACATGGAGTAGCAGTTAAAAGAATGGTGTGCTATTTATATTTGGTTTTTGTCCTTAATGGTTGGTGGAGATCTATATTACGTGGGTTTGCATACGTGTGTCGGGTGCCGATATGTATCTATACATTGAACGTGTCAAATCTCCAAATAAAAGGACACAAGAATACTGCTAAATCTATTTAATATTTTAAATTTATTTTCTAGTGTAAAATAATGTCTTTATATAACATAGTGGTCAATAAAGGTATTTGATTCATTTGAAACAATAACATAATAAAATTCATTTATTTGATATATGTTTTTAGGTGCATGTCCAACCAAAAATTTCGGACATATAACCCATTCTCATGTCCAAGTATTGTGTCTAACATGGTATTTTACCTACTTTTGAAGAGTCCATGTAAAATAGGTGGAGGTACTAAGTTTTAGCCTTTTAGGTTTTGTAACAGTGTAAGTAAACAGTAAGTGTTTGAGGCTTCGGCCGGGCGAGAAATTTGTGAATGGTATCCTTGAACAGTAACTTTTACTGAATTGATATTTTTTGTATTCCGAGGTTAAATAATTGATGAATGGATAAATTTGGCTCGTCCAATAAGGTTTTATTGACAAAACAAAAAAGGGTGACTAAATCTGGTCATGGGTTTTACATCTCTAGGAATTTAGGAAATTTGGGATAGTGTCACTTATCATTGGCAAACTGGTGGGCTTCAGGTAAGGAAGAAGGGGTTTTAAAAGGTAGAAGAAATGATGTAGGCTTTTTCAATATGAAAGAGTTGGAATTTGTTTCCTTTAAAGTAGGCAGTTCATAGGATTTTTAGAGTTTGTTGCTGAAAAATTGTGCAAGGGCTTGTTGGGGATTTGAGTTTTGCAATTGAAGGTCAAAAGGTAAGTATATATATAAATAAAAGTTAGTTTTGATTTGGGTTGGCAGAGTACGGTTTTTGGATATAATAAAGCTGTGGATATGAATATACTATATAGTAAAGATTTTTGACTTGTGATTTATTCTGTCAAATTTGGATAAATTTTTTTTTGATAAGTTCAAATTTGGATAATTTAAAGATGGAAAAACAAAGATTTCTAAAATTGGATCTTTCAAGGGCAGAACAAGGCTATTCAGAAGGTTTCAAAGTGCATCAAGTTAAAGAAACAGAGAGAAGTTTAAAGAAGAAATTGGGTCTCACACCTAGATTCCATTAATGTTTCGAAGAGTTGGAAATTAACAGATGTGCTTTGGGTTTGAAAGATAATATAGAGGCTACTTTGTACTTATCAATAAAAAAATATAGAGGCTATGTTGCCAATTAGGGTTATGATTTGGGAGAAAGGAAGAGGGGGGGGGGGGGGGGGGGGTGGGAATGGGGGTTGAGTTTTAACTATTATTAATAAAACTCGTTTGAACTAAATATTGTCATATAATATGGTCCTATAGCATGCATGGCGTGAAGCATGCCCACAAATCGACTATAGTCCTATGTCCAGCAAAATCTTGAAAATGCTGAATTTCCTCAACTCCAAAAACTTAATGTAAATAAACTAAACCACTTGAAAGAGAATTGGAGCGTTGAGTGTGTGTTTGATTTTAAAATTTTAGGTTTGTGGACTAAGTAAGAGGTAAAGACGGAGGAGCTTTACTTACCAAAAAAAAAAAAGAAAGACGGAGGAGCTTTAAATTTCATCCTTCAGTACATGCATAGGGAGGAGAAAACCTAGTCAGTATCTCTTGCAAGGCCATATATCAGCTCAAAATGGGTCATTGAGTGCCATCAATGGAGAGCCTCTTGAAAGTAAAACTCCCTTTCTTTTACATGCTTCAATTCTTTCTCCCTTTTGGAATTTATGTATCTTCCTAGGCTTCAATTTGGTAAACTTATCCTTTACACTCCCTGGTTGTGGTGGTTTGAGCTAGTTTGGTGCTACTAACCCCACTCCTGACATTTTGAGGTGGTTTGAGTTAGTTTGATGCGTTGTATGGTATTTTAATATCCGCTTTATTGTCATATTGTTTGTTTTCATTGTATATGATTTCATCTTAAAATCATGTGCATTTACCAGTGTAATTTTTACAGCATCACAGTCTGTGAAGAAAATAATCGAGATCAACCCATACATGCTAGGAACAATGGCTGGGGGAGCTGCTGACTGCCAGTTCTGGCACAGAAACCTGGGCATTAAGGTGATTTACTTATGTTATTTTCTCTGTTCCGAATCTAATGCCTTCAGAACTGTCATACACACACACACACGCACATATATATAAGAATAAAAAAAAAATAAAAAAATAAAAAAACTGGAAGATGCGATGCTTTAGTGGTGTATATTTGCATATAATGTAGACAATTCAGAAGTTATTTGTTTAAGAAACTTGTTTCACTGAGAAGTTGCAGATTTAATCTTTCTGTCATTTTTGCAAAGAATCAAACTTTTACTTTCATTGACTAGCATAGTTGTGATGCCTCTTGGTATGTGGAACCATGGGTCATGCAAGAAACTGAAAACAACAAGGATACACTCCAACCCATTCTTCCTTGTTGGTGTTATAATTATACATTTTTTATAAGTCCATCTCATCCACTACATTCTTGCACTTGGTTTTGTTTTCTGATGAATTTACCTGATGTTCATGTTTTAGTGCCGGTTGCATGAGCTGGCAAATAAGCGAAGAATTTCAGTTGCTGGGGCTTCAAAGCTGCTTGCAAACATTCTTTATTCTTACCGTGGAATGGGCTTGTCTGTTGGTACCATGATTGCTGGATGGGACGAAACGGTAATGGCAATTGACCATATAGCATCAGCCTGTCCTGCATCAGTTTAAGTCGTATTAACCTCACATTTTTTGGCTCTTAGGGTCCTGGGCTATATTATGTGGACAGTGAAGGAGGGCGATTGAAAGGAACCAGATTCTCTGTTGGATCTGGTTCACCATATGCTTATGGTGTATTGGATAACGGGTGCTCTATCTCTCCCTCTCTCTCTGGAATATTCACACACACTGCTGTCGTCTTTAAATTTTCATACATGTTCTGTTGCGTTTGTGAATTTTTAGGTACCGTTATGATATGTCAGTTGAAGAAGCTGCAGAGTTGGCTAGACGTTCCATTTATCATGCAACTTTTCGAGATGGAGCTAGTGGTGGTGTTGCTAGTGGTATGCTCTCTCTCTCTTTCTATATATCTCGTGTGTGTTCATGCAATTGTTAGGTCATTCACTCGGGTTTATTATCAGTTTATCACGTGGGACAAAAAGGATGGACGAAGCTATCTGGTGATGATGTCGGGGAACTCCATTATATGTACTATCCAGTTGAACCAACAACAGTGGAACATGAGATGGGTGAAGCATCAGGGGTGTGAGGTAGAGGGTTGCTGGGATATTCTCCTGTTAGTTGCCAACAGTTCATAGACAGGCCTGGATAAGTTTATTTCAGTTTCCTTTGATGTTCTTGAAGTTTACACTATTTCATGTGCTGGATAATTCTTGTTGCTGGTTTTGAAATTTATGATCTCTATTTGTGCTTGAAAATCTGTGTGCGTGCGTGGGTTTTTGCAGTGGGGGCAATGAACCTAGCCTTGTTTTATGTGCTATCCTCTCAATTTAGCTCTCTCATTATGTTGGTAGTGACCTTAGGGGTAATGTAGCTCAATGGAGAAGTTTTTCCTTAAATTACCCTTACTATGAACCATAATCTAATCAGCATGTTGAAACTCAACGGAGATCGTGAGATGTATTTCAATAGCAAAAGAATGGACAACATCCGGTAAGGACTGAATTTGAGCATCGCTTTTTTGCATTCTTGTGTGTGTGTGTGTGTGGGTGAGCCTTGGCGCAATAATTAGGTTGCTCCATTGTGACATGGAAGTCATGGGTTTGAAGCAAGGAAACAGCCTCTTTACACGTGGTTGCTCCATTGTGACACGGAGGTCACGGATTTGAAGCAAGGAAATAGCCTCTTTACATGTGAAAGTAAGGGCTGCGTACATCTTCAGACCCTTCCTCGTGCGTCAGGTTTTCCCTTTTATGTGTGTGTATGTGGATGGAGGTCCTGATGCAAGAAGCAGCATGTTAAATGAGATATTGAATGCCCAGTCTGGAATTTGGATATAGAATAAAGCTTTGATGCATTTGTTTTAATATGATCTACTCTGTTGTTTGTTTGTTTGTTTTTGTTTTTGTTTTTTTTTTCCCCTAGTTATCTATACTATGTTGTTTATCTTCTTCTCCACAACTATTTGAGGAGTCTAACATGCTTATTTAATAGCCTTGGGAGTTTGTTTAGATAAGTAGAACAGAAAATAATTCAGAGAATAGTAGTTGGGATGAAATATGATATTTTTGGATAAATAAAGAAGGAAGCTTGAAAAGATAGTGGAAAAAGAAAAGGGTGGAAAGGATTATTTTATTGTGCAAAGGTAAGAACAAAATAGAAAATCAGCTGTTATAAAAATAGGCCAAAATAGGTAATTACAGTCTTGTCATTTTCCTCCGTTCTTTCCATATCTGGAATAATAGAGAAAAGGCTAAGCTATCTCTGACCTTTTTCTCTTTCCCTCTCATCCTCCTTTCCTTCTGACCTTTTTCAATCCAAAACACATTATTTGTATCACTGCCTATGTAGGGGTAGAAGGAAAAGATTGGAGACAAACCAAGCCTAACCTAATTTTTATTTATCCAGAGACTGGAATTCGAGACCTAATGTTTCATGAGGCATCAGAGTCAAGTTCTCATCCGTTAAGATAGCCAATCTCACGGGGTGATTTTGGAGACAAACCTAAGCTAACTTAGTTTTGTCAATTGCATTGTTTGATTAATTGATAAGTTGTTTTAATGGCAACCAAAGCTTGTTTCCCATCAAGTTATCATGCTACAAGCAACATCAAACTTTGCTTATTTGCTAATCATCAATCATAAGAAGAAAAAAAGAAGAAGAAGATGATTTTTAATGAACAAGACACTCTCATCATCAACTTTCTTTCCTCAGTTGTCAAGATGGAACAATTTGCTCATTATCTGTGTGGACAAATGAGAGATGTGCAATTAGTTTGAAAGTGAGACCACTGGCTTAAATCAGTGAAACACACTGTTTGAACTAGTGGGGTGTTTATAACCAATTCCCTTTTTTTATGTGGTAAATGGGACCCTCAATTAGAGAGAGTTGAGCCAACCAAAGGCTGAGTATAATTCCCTTAACTACAAAGCAAAGCAAAGGAGTCTTTTATCCATATATCCTTTTTTTTCCTACTCTTCTGTCTGGGAATATTGGTTCTTGCACTTGTCTCATTCTTAAAGTGATTTTACATTATTAGTATATTTTGTTTCCCTTTAAAAGAAAGATAAGAAGTTATGTAATTATAGTATAATATTCAGTAACTCACCATCCGAGTGGTTGAGGATCTTATATTAATTGAAATAAAAAAATAAAAAAATAAAAAAACTATAATTGGTAATTCTCAGTAGCCACATCCATGGTAATCTTGACTTGCACTACAAAACATTCTACATGTCACACATAGGGTTGATTATTAAATAAGAATATAGAAAGAAGATTGTGGGAATGTTTTGCGATATGAAAATTTAAGTTATTAAGTGGTGCTAATAATACACCTAATTTATATATACCGATTTCACTTTTTATTCGAATTAGATGTGGGACAAGTCTCTCATTGTGGAAAAAATATAGTATCTCACTCATGGATTTTTATTTCCTATCATCAAGGGAAATGAGGTATTTCGAAAATATAAAAAAAAAAAAAAAAAAAATTTCAATAAAAAATGATAAAAAGTTCGAGAGTCAGATGCATCCCACTTTTTTTATATGAGAGTTGGGATAATATAATCATAATGTTATTAATTATGATTATGTCGTCGTGACATCATCTTTTATTAACATAAATTTAGTTGGATGTGTCTGTTTTTTGGTCTATATCATTATTCAATTCCCATACAATAATAAAAAAATGAAAAATAAAACCTTAGATATACATTTTCTAACGCTCTTAGAAGTCGGATTTATTAATAACCCAAAAGATAATACAAGCTGGAAAGGACATGCATCGTCTCTCTCTCTCCATCTGTTGATTTCATTAGCTTCTAAGCATATATTCATGATTGAGAGATATAATCATTTGTATGCCTCCACTAAACAACTAAAAATAATAATTAAATATTACATAGACTAATTGTAGAATGCTAACCTTTTTTGGGAAAGTAGTGCATTCATAAATCATACAAATTAAACATGGGTGTGAGAATGAATAAATATGATATCATTAGTATAATAGGATACATGGTGGTGTTGGTTACGTGAAAGTGATGGGTGTAATAAATAATTAGAAGTAATCCCCTCTCCATTGATTACCCAACCATGCCATCCGTTCAAAAATAAAATAAAAGTAAAAAAGAAAAAAAGAAAACTAATGATAACAAATCATTTTGTTTTGATTTAAGGGTTTTAAGGTGTAATTCTATTATCCCCTATATAGTTCCATGCTTGTATTTGATATTTAAAAATTATGTGAAAAATATCGTTTAATACTCCCCTTGCTTCAAAAATAATAAAAAAATTATCCTTTCGGTAAACCTTGACTCACAAAAGGGTCATTTTTTTAAAAACAGATGGAGTACTTTGTTTGGCTGCATTCAATTGGCATCTTAGATTTGAAATTGAAAAAAATTTAATACAAAATTTGAAATAACATTGCTTCAATTCTAAATATAAGATACCGATTCAGTATTCTCAAATATAATATAGGAGTATTAGACATTACGGAAGAAAAATCATGATACAAATAAAAAAATTGATTGATTTAATTTAAACTTATCAGATCATGTATTTTTACACAACACCACCAAAACAAAGAACTAACTAGAAATCTCTAACATATCCCGAGTAGCCAGAGTTAGAATTGTAAGTGGCACGGATGAAAGAATGCAATCGAAATCCATTAGAACCCGAGAAAAAGATGCAAGAACATGAACTACTCTATCACCCACTTCCCCTAACATGAGAACTTCAACAAAGGAAATATCTTTTAACCCTCTTTTAATATCATAAATAAGATGCAACTTATCCCAACATGTGAATTTTATCCACGCATTTTCTTAATGTGGCATGTGTTCATGAATTGACCATTTACAAAAGCTAAGATCATTTATAACAAAAAAGTATTTTAATAAGGACAATTCATGCAAACATAACTCTAAATTTGGCATATAAAAATTAATATGGACCAAGAACAAAAATTAAAAATAAAAATAATTAAATAAAGAGAAGAAGATAAAAATATGGGTTGTTTTCTGAATTTTTCTATAAATGTGAATTTCAAAAAGTGAAGGATGGAGGATTTCAAATTGAGATTATTTATGAACTTTTATGTGTAACACGATTAAAATTTTTAAATATTTTTTTTTGGTAAGTAAAAAAATTTTAGCTCATGGGGTTCCATTAATTATGGTTTTTCAAAATTTTGATAAATGAATCTCTCACTTTGTGATCTATAAAAGATACTGAGAAAGCGTAGCATAAAAAAAAAATCTTGCGATATTTGAAAAAATTATTGAATGGTCCATTGGTGTCAAAATGACACATTATTTTGCTGCAACGTTTTGTGATTGGCCGAACAATCTAATAATTTTTTCTTCAAAATCTTTATTTATTAATTATCAAGAAAAATAGAGGATTTTCATTGAAAACTAACAAAATATTCAAAGGAATTAATCCAAATAAAATAAAATAATAATATTAATAAAAAACCAATAAAATAAAATAAAATACTGTTCAAAGTCAATGTAAAAAGTCAAAAATAAAAACCCAACAAAATTATCAACCCCAAAAACATCTTCATCATCATTGTTAGTGACCAACTTGTCCCGAGTACTTTCTATCTAATGGTTCACAAACAGTACCAAGCCATATCCATTGCTTTTCTTCTACTCCCCTTCTGTTAGGAAGGTAGTCTTCCTTTTGGCGGGAGGTGGGACCCACCAATCAAAATCTCCTCTTCCTCAAGTCTCTTTCTCATAAATACCTCCCAACTTCCCCACTCTTCCAAACCCACCACCACCATCACCTCACTCCTCCGCCAACCACCACCTCCATGTGGAGGGATCCTCCACATCTCTCCCGATTTGTTCTTTATACACGAAACAAAACACTCACTCACTTCTAAAAACTAAACACACGTTACTCCAAAAAAGACTAAACCAACACAATTCAAAATGAGGGAACTTTCTCTGCTTCTAATTATTTTTCTCTCTCTTCAAAACCTTAACTTCACATTTTCTCTCTCCTCCGACGGCCTCTCTCTCCTCTCGCTAAAATCCGCGGTGGACGACGGCGGCGCCTTCCCCGACTGGAACGAGAACGACACCACTCCGTGCCACTGGACCGGAATCTCCTGTATGAACGTCACCGGATTCCCGGACCCCCGCGTCGTCGGCATCGCAATCGCAGGCAAGAGTCTCCGGGGATACATCCCGTCGGAGCTTGGAGCTCTGGTATACCTCCGGCGACTCAACCTCCACGGGAACAACTTCTACGGCGCCATACCTGAGCAGCTCTTCAACGCCACCTCACTCCACAGTATATTCCTCTACTCCAACAATCTCTCCGGCCCTCTGCCTCCGTCTATCTGCCACATCCCTCGCCTACAGAACCTCGATCTCTCAAAGAACTCTCTCTCCGGTTCGATTCCGAGAGATCTACGCAACTGCCGGCAACTGCAGCGGCTCATTCTCACTGGAAACAAGTTTTCCGGCGAGATTCCAGCGGGGATCTTCCCGGAGCTGGCGAATTTGGTTCAGATCGATCTGTCATCGAATGCTCTCAACGGATCGTTGCCGGAAGATATTGGCGAGCTGAAATCGCTGTCGGAGACTCTCAATCTCTCTTTCAATCATTTCTCCGGAAAAATTCCCAAATCTATGGGGCATTTGCCGATGACAGTGAGTTTTGATCTCCGAAACAACAGTTTGAGCGGCGAAATTCCTCAGACCGGTTCGTTTGCGAATCAAGGTCCGACGGCGTTTCTCAATAATCCGTTGTTGTGCGGATTTCCGTTGAAAAAATCATGTCAAAATGGTACCCGAACTTCGCCTGTAAATCAGAATCCGTCGCCGGAATCTGACGACAGTGATAGGGGAGAAGGGCTGAAGCCAGGGCTGATCATATTGATCTCTGTGGCCGATGCAATTGGAGTCGCATTTATAGGTCTAGTGGTTGTTTATTTGTATTGGAGGAGAAAAGACTCACACGGTTGTAGCTGCACTAGGAGAGGAAAATTGGGTGGAAATGAGAAAGGATTATTGTGTTCATGTCCTTGTATTAATGGGTTTCCGAGTAATGACTCGGAAGCGGAGTCAGATAAAGGAGGAGGTGGTGGCGGCGGCAGCGGCGTTGGCGGTGGAAGTGGCAGTGGTGGTGCCGGTGAAGGCGAGCTGGTGGCAATTGATAAAGGGTTCAGTTTTGAGCTGGATGAGCTCCTGAGGGCATCAGCTTATGTGTTGGGGAAGAGTGGGTTGGGGATTGTGTACAAAGTTGTGCTCGGAAATGGGATTCCGGTGGCGGTGAGGAGGTTGGGTGAAGGTGGTGAGCAGAGGTACAAGGAATTCACGGCGGAGATTCAGGCAATCGGAAAGGTAAAGCACCCCAATGTTGTGAAGTTGAGAGCTTATTATTGGGCTCCGGATGAAAAACTTCTCATTAGTGATTTCATCTCTAATGGCAATTTGGCTTCTGCTGTCCGTGGTAAGGTCCTTACTTCTTCCTGTTTAGTGTTTGCTTTATTAATTATATTTCCAATTTGTAAATTGTAGTTGCTTTAAGTGCATACACTTCGAAACTAAGCAACTGATAAATTTTTTCCAAAAGTTTAAGTAAACACACACTCTCGCGATAGGAAAATGGATTTGAAGGTTAATTAGTTTGACTTATTTGTCAAAGTGAATAATCGGTCTGAGTAATGAATATCATGATTCCTCAAGATATATGGCCCTAGAATTCGAAATCTCGACCTCCCATTTGATGCTTGTCAGGAGTACTTGTTAGAGTAGGAATAGGAAAAAATGGAGGGCAATTAGGGGTGGATAGATTTTTTCTTTATTTAATACTACAAGGGGCATTAATGACCATTTATTTGGGACACTACTCACTCCAGTGACCTACCCAATTGATGATTTTGAGAATACAAGATAGGTTCATGATTGTCCAGTTGAAGCAATCCCTGAAATTAAAATCAATTCAATTGTTATGAGAACTTATGAGACAAGTGGGAAACTGATTATTTTCTGAGTGGAGGTGAACAAGAGGGTACATCAGGAGCCCACTTTGAAGGAGTTTCTTTAATTAATAATGTACGTTTATACTGATAGGCTTTTCAAAAGAAATTAAATAGAGAAAACATTTTTAATTTCAAAAGGAGACCAATTCAAAAAACAAAAGTTTTGGGATACACTCCTGAGGCACTTAATTAAGACATTGCCATGCTTGTATTTATATCATGTCAGATATCACCAAAATTGTGGGAAAAAAGAAATAAAAGAAGATACCACCAAAATTACTATTATTTTCTTCTTGGTGGTATTAAAGTCATTACATCATGTAGGCATAGGCACAGCTGTTCATATTTGTAGAATGCACCAACTGGTTGGTACCTTGCTAAGAAATTGTGGGCCAGAACCACCTGAACAATCACTAATTCACTAGGCTAGGCACCAAAGTGAGGACTTAAGCATTTTAAGATGCCCAATTTTTCATTGTCTCGTCTTTGGTTGTTTTTAATGTTTATCTGAGACTTCAAATAGTGTGCTTTGATTATTTTTTATGGTTATGAAAGTTAATTTGGATTCTAGTATTCATGATTTTTACTTTGTGAAGATTCCTTTGAAGCAAAACTTATGAGATTGTACTACCTTTTATCTCTTTTTTATTTTTATTTCTTATTTTTTATTTGAGAGCATTGAAAAGGTGGACTTTTACTTTTCAGACAGTGTCCTTCAAGATTAAATGAGAGCATCACCCTTTACTGCTAGGACTTTATGTTCCTTTCACGTCTCCCTTGAGGTGGTGCACTTTAGATGGTGATTACTTTAGGTGGTGCACTCATATCTCACTTATGGTTGGACCCTAGTAGGTCAATGACAACAGCATTTTCCTTTCACGTCTCCCTTAGGACTTCAAATTTATTTATTATTATTTTTTTTTCCGAATATTTTTAGCAAACGCTCACACACCCAGAGATATTGGGTGCACTAGCATACAATGTCATTGGTATTGCACCCTATGAAAATGCGAGAAATTATTACATGGTCCCAGGCCAATCAACACGTGACACATCAACAAATACGTCAGGATGTCTAAGCTTTATTAAGTTTTTTGCTGATGTGTCACATGGTGATTGGATGGGACCATGTAATAATTTCTCAATGCCAGACATTCACCATATCAACTTGTTGAGATCATTTTTTTGTAAGTAACCCTTTGCCTAAGAGAGGTCATACCATCTGGACCTACCCATTGGTTACTTGAGTTTTAGAAGTTACAATGAAACCATTCCGCGAGGCCCTTTCTTAACCGGAGGCCCCTACATTTGCATTTACATTCGCATTCCTAGTGGAGCCAACTTTGTAAGAATAAACTTAATGTTATCGAGATTGTATAGAATGATGGGAAGGAACATCTACAATTGTAGGGTTAACTTCACTGTATTGAATTCTATGTTACAAGGGGGTAATATCTAATAGTAGCTTAAGCCCACTCTGTTTTCTGTGTGTTCCAGCATTGATCTGTTGTCAGAGATGTATAAAAGTATCTTCTGAAGCTCAACTAATGATGAAATGATATTCTGAAATATATTTTTCTGCAATGCTATAATTTTTGCAACTGATGATACATTTTTTACAGGGAGAACTGGTCAGCCATCATCATCAAGTCTTTCGTGGTCAGTTAGGCTAAGAATTGCAAAGGGATCAGCCCGGGGCTTGGCCTACCTCCATGAATGTAGTCCCAGGAAGTTTGTCCATGGAGACATCAAACCATCCAACATTCTCCTTGACAATGAATTCCAACCTTACATTTCCGATTTTGGCCTCAACCGGCTGGTTAACATAACTGGCAGCAATCCCTCTTCCTCTGGTGGCTTTATTGGTGGAGCTCTTCCATATTTAAAATCCACCCAACCGGAGAAATCCAACAAGTACCAAGCACCAGAGGCTCGGGTCTCTGGCAATCGACCTACCCAAAAATGGGATGTGTATTCATTTGGAGTTGTATTGCTTGAATTACTAACTGGAAAGTCTCCGGAGCTTTCATCTCCAACGACATCAACTTCCACAGAAGTGCAGGATCTAGTAAAGTGGGTGAGGAAGGGATTTGAAGAGGAAACTCCACTATCAGATATGGTAGACCCGTTGTTGCTTCAAGAAGTGCATGCCAAGAAGGAAGTACTAGCAGCTTTTCATATAGCCCTCGCCTGCACTGAGGGGGACCCCGAGGTTCGGCCTAGGATGAAAACTGTCTCTGAAAATCTCGAAAGAATTGGAGCATAAGAATATATATGGTTTTCCATCAACATAATAATCAAGGAAATTCCGGTTTTCTTGATTTATCAGTAGGCGACAGTGCCATTCTGTTCCTGGCAAATTTTGTAAGTTGGTGCAATTAATTCTTAAAGCTTTTTTGGCCTCCCATAATTTCTGAAATTCTCAGAATCCAAGTTACCGATTTCTGGATGTTTTTCAACACTTTTTTCAGGCATTATCTAGTTTTACATTTGTTTCCCTTTTTTAGTAGTAATTGGGAAATTAGCTACATTTGTAATCTATTATTTTTCTTGTTCAATCCCCTTCAGAGATTGATAAAATGTTAGCATACCACTTTTTCACTTCTCATATCTTTTCTGTGTTTAATTGTTACTGTTTTACTTCATGGTCACAGATACATGTATCTGCTTTAATGATAAAACACTTTGATAATTGAAAATACAGGCTACAAATCAGAGTTCAAGCAGAAATCAGAATAAATAGAGTTCATGAAATGCATAGATTAAATAATATTCAACATCAAATACAGAAGATGAACAGCGACACATAAGGTAAAGACGCTAGAACCACTTAATATCCATGCTTATTTACCCATGACAACTTTTCAAGCCCAGTAGACACAAGGCTCAGACTAGGTAGCTTTCAATGTGTTTCCAACATCAATGACGAATCGGTATCTAACATCAGCTTTCTGAAGGCGCTCCATCGCAGTGTTGACGTAGTCCATTGATATAACCTCAACGTCCGCGGTTATGTTGTGCTTTGCAGCAAAATCAAGCATTTCCTGTGTCTCCTTCATGCCCCCAATGCCACTCCCAGCTACTAACTTCCTCCCGACAAGCAAAGGAAAGACTGGTAGCTCTAGAGGCTTGTCTGGTGCCCCAACTAGGACAAGCTTCGCATGACTCTTCAACAGGCCGAGCAACGGTGGGAGAGGGTGAACAGCGGAGACAGTATCAATGATACCATCCATTGTGCCCATAGCAGCCTGCATCTGATCTTCTTCGCGGCTAACCAGGAATGAATCAGCACCGAGACGTTCAATGGCTTCATTCCTCTTGCCAGGGGAGGTGCTGATAACTGTCACTTTAGCCCCAAAAGCCTTGGCAAACTTAACAGCTACATGTCCCAGCCCACCAAGACCAACCACACCCAAATGCATACCAGCCTTGTCAAGTCCATAGTACTTCAGGGGGCTGTAAACTGTGATCCCTGCACATAGGAGAGGAGCACCAGCATCAAGAGGCATGTTGTCAGGAATACGAACCACGAAATGCTCTTTCGTGACCATGACATCCGAGTAGCCTCCATACGTGGGTGTTCCATCGTAGTAGGTGGAATTGTAGGTGAGTATCATTTTAGGACAGTAATTCTCGAGATTGTTGTTGCAGTTGTCGCACGAGTGACAAGCTCCAACCATGCACCCCACACCGACTTTGTCTCCAACTTTGAAATTCTTTACCTTTCTCCCCACCTCCATCACAATCCCCACAATCTCGTGCCCGGGGACAACGGGATACTTAGTCACGCCCCATTCATTCTTGATGCTGTGAAGGTCGGAGTGACAGATCCCACAGTACAACACCCTGAATTTCACATCTTGGCGGCCAGTTTTCCTCCTGGAGAACTTGAATGGTGAGAGGACACCGGATTCGTCTCTGGCTGCCCATCCAAAGGCCTCCACCGGATGTTCACCCCTCCGGTCACATGATTCTGTTACTTCTGCACTGCGCTCTTTGAAACTCTTTGACAGTATTATGGCATAGCAAATGAATCTCCTAGTGTATTCCCATATGCATTTCACAAATTCGAACAGAGACTGAATGATGTCCATTTTCACTGCACATATTCAAGATCAGACAACAGTACTACATGAAATTAAGACATTGTAGACAGCATTTGGGTGGTTCACAAGCCAGTGCATCACTGTGCATGTGGTGATACTGAAGGAAAATGTATATGTTGCAGAGCAAGCAAATTGTAACACAAAAAAAAAAGAATTTTGTAGTTGTATAGCTTTAATACATACCTTGTTTCGATTTAAAGCACGTCACGGAAGAGTGGAAGATTTCAGTGGCTGATTAATCAAACAAATTTCATCTGTTGAAAATTTGAAATAGATAAACTTGATTAATCTAAGAGGAAAAAGCAAAGAAAATAAATTACAAGAAATTAATCAAAAAATGATATTAATGAGAAGCCAAGAACCTAAACATAGAACATGACATTGAGTTGCTTACATAATGATCCCAGTGTACCCCGGCCAACAGATATATAAGTGAATTGAACCCTCATGGAAGAAACTGGGAGATTCTTTCCTTGCACACACACACAGTGACAAACGCACAGAAATTAATAGACATACACACACAAAAGAAGATGCTTCTGTATGGATGGAAAAAAAAAATGTTCATTATGAAAACTATTTAAGAAAATATAATTATATTTTCTATTGAAATATATATTATATATATGTATTATATTCTGTTTCCTTCTCCCTATTTTACACCTTATACTTTCGCATTCCTAAATTTAACATGGTATTAGAGCAACGATCCTAGATAGTTTGTGTTTTTTTTTTTCTTTCCTTTATTGATTGTAGCCGACGCTCCTGCGAAGTAGATATTACTTGCGTTTCACGTGCCCATGTGAAGCACGCTGCTGCAAGTATATCTCACTCACGCTACATGCGCCCACGCGCTCCTCCTTCACAAAGCACATAAACAATCCAAAGTAGGATGCCTTTTATGCACGAAAAAGAAAATTCAAAGTATATTTAATCTATTACACACACACACCAACAACATAAAAAGATGCCTGCCTTGGCCACAGCACAACACAGGACGAATGTGGAACATCAGGTGACCAAGTTATCTAAACCTACAATATAAACCAACAATATGAAGCAAGAAGATGCTTCTCTTGTATGTAAATGTTATATTGGACTAAATTACTCGTGAGAGTAAAGCAAGATAGATTAAATGAAAGTTTACTTTTAACATACGGTGCAACGATAAGATTACTTCATTGTGAGGAATTCATTTCACAAAAATAACCTTTCTAGTATGGGAGAATAAAACTGTTCGCACGTATACACTTTCAAAATCACTCCTTTATGAGTGACCAAATACGTTCAAGAAACATCATATTTAAAAAGTATAATAAATGATGTGAATGTTACCCTATTTGGTAAAATGAAAAATCATACAATTAAATTTGTTAAAAGGAAGGTTTTTCTTGAATCTCTTATATTTATTTATAAAAAAATAAAAATATATAATTTGTGGTAAAACTATCATTCTCACTTGTTTAAATTAGAAAAAGGAGGTTAGGAAACTCTTAATCTAATTCTAAAAGGGTAAAAATTAAACAGTAATGCCTTTGGTAGCGACTATAATGTTCACATAGAGCGGGAGTGGAAAAGTGAAAACGTCAAAGTCTAAAAATTTTGAGAGCAGGAGCACAGCAAGAGCGTCCCTATATTTACTTAAAAATTTATCATTTAAATTTATTATTATTATTATTTTTTTATGAATTTTTTTAACATATGAATATTGAAAATTAGTAAACATTTATTTATAATTTTCTTTGTCAATTAATTATATGAAGTAGTTATATAATTTAACTCCGTCAATTATATTACAAGTAAACAATAGTTTAACTGTTATTGTGTTGGACCTGCTTTTTAACCCGTCACACACAGAGCGTGACAGCGATTACCCTTTCAACGGATTATGTGATTTAGGAGTTAAGGTGTAAGTAGAGGCTTGGGCAAGAGGATGCCTCAATGGCCTATGCAACCCAGGTGGGTTACGCTATTATTGGGCCAGGCCTACCTTGGGTCAAGACAGATCATGGGCCTGGCTGAAACCCAAGCTGGTAAAGTCATGAACCCTCACACCAAATTTACACTTCTAGCGGCAACCGCCTATGTTTTTTTGTTTTTAACCATCCTGGAATTCTTACCGGAAAACCATTTAGGTCTCGCCCGAATAGCGCTCCGAACTTAAATTGAAGCCCGTCCTTAAGTCACATAATTTTTTTTTTCACAGGTATTATTTAAAACTAACTCTCGCTTTATTTTTTAATATTTATAATTTAATTTTATAGCTCTCACACTGTCTTTTTAAATTCCAAGTCGCCCTTACTTTACGTGAGTAAGTCCGTCCTTACCTTATTGTATTTTCTGTTTAAAAAAGAAAAAGAAAAAAACAGAACAAAAAAAAGCCCTAAATCAATCGATTTCAGATTTCAGACAGCTGATTCTCTTTGACGAGCAGCTTTGAGCCTTCTAACCGCTTCTTCGACATTCAGCGAACACACCAAGCCTTCTCACGCCACGGTTGATCGAAGATTGGTTGCTCAACTTGCTCTTCGACAGTAACGAACAGAGGTCAATTGCGAACACAACCTTCTCAAATTCAACGGGTTCGAAGTCCTCAATCCTTACTCCTCTAACCTTCTAAGTTTTCACTTCTCAGATTACTCAACAAAGTTACAAACTCAAATGGTTTTTTTTTTTGTTGTTGTGCAAATTTATTTACAGAGAAACTAATCAAGTGGCTCATAGTCTAGGGTGTATTGTTTTGAGAATTATGTTGACAAAGTTTTGAATCTGATTTGGCTGAGGAGGTTAAATAATGTGATTTGCAATAATTTATGTTTGGCGTTTTCAATTTCATATCAATTGAAATTTCAGAAGCAGTATTATATTGTTGTGTTGTGATTTGTTTCGAATCATAAACATATTAATAACTACTTGGTCCATACTCCATAGTCCATTCGTGAGTCTGTGACTACTTGGTGATGATGATTGTGAGGAATTTGTTCAATTTTGAGGATTTCTGTTTTGTGTTCTTTTCAAACAATATTGTTTAAAAAAGTATTTTGAATTTTTTTTTTTTTTACAAATTGGTAGAATCTTACTATTTACGATTCTACGATTCCGATTGTACGGAACCCAAAACGATTCTATGTAGAATCCCGATTTTAACAACCTTGGTATACACACACATGCAAATATACACACAAAAACACATATTTATATGTTGAATGCTTAACCTTTGTCTGAAGAATTTTTAGGAATCATATATTATGAGAATTCAGGAAATAGATTTGACTGACTCACTATGTTGAATGCAGGTTCCAGTATTGTAGGTTGCAGTTAACTTTCTTATATTGAAATGGAGGTCAGTTACAAATCTTTGGTTTTCTATTGCGTGTATTATATGTTTGATTTTATTCAGGTTCTTTCTTGTAGTATTCTCAGGAATAAATGTTATTAATTTTCCTTGTCAAGTTCAGAAACAAGGAGGCGGAGCAATTGACCTTGACAAGACAACAGTTACCATGGAAGCCGATGAGACTAGTGCCGGAGGGTTATTTCTACCTGGGAAAGATAGAGTAGTGTTTAGACCTCCTGACAGGAAGTCTCTTTTAGGTACGATATGCATCAAGCCATTGACATATATCTTAACATGCTACAATCTAAATCCTTAGAGCTAGTAAATTATTGTGGATGTGTTGTCTAAATTGGGAAAGTGGTTGTGGAGGCTTGCAGAAGACATGAATTTTGGTTAGTGGGAGGCAAACACGGGAAGGCAAGTGGGTGGGCTTTATTGGGAGTTAGGGAGTCTGGTCAGTGGCCTTTTGGAAAGATAGTTGTTAGGGGTGGATTAATTCTCCAAACATGTTGGGTGCATAGTATGTTCGGGTGAGTTTCTGGCTTGACTTTAGTGTCTGGGGCTGGGGGTAGTATGGAGCCCTTATTCCTAGGCCTTACTTCAAATGGCTTTGAATGACGAGTCTAGTGTTAGCAAATGTGTCTCTGACAATGGTGTAATAGGCAATTCAAGTTAATAGACCAGTGCATACATGGTAGTCTGGTAGATGACCAAAATACCCTTGATTTGTGAGACTGAATAAAATACAAATAATCATATACCAATTGCATATGAACCTAATAATAAATTTAAAATAGGACTATTCTAAAACTAAAGCTTGACTTCTCAAATTTTCAGGTGGTCTGACCCTAGAATTGAACCAATTGCTAACTTTTTTCTATTCTTTAATTTTTTTTCCTATTCTTTAAATTGTTTTTCATTAAACTTGTTATGAATTGCATCATCATCTCCTTGTTAATATACTTATCAAAAAAAAAAAAAAAATCTCCTTGCCAATATATATATATTTTGGATCTCTAACCACCAATGATAGCTGATTTCTTATATAAAACAGTCTTGTATGCATAATATTGTGATTCTCTCTCTATTATGTTACTTAATAGTTAATATATGACTACCAAAACAGGGTTAGATGTCCTTGCAAATGTGAAACGGGGTGGACCTAAGGTAGACGCAGGCTTTAAGGTTCCAAGAGTCGCCTCCGTTATGGCATCTGTCGATGAAGAGGAATCTACATCCTCAGTAATTGATGAAGAAGGAGGTGGTGCTTCCAGTAGCACACATGGCTATGCCAAGCGGCAGTATCGTGAAACATTTTCAAGCGAGACATCTTTAGGTATGCTTTTAATTTTACTTCTTGATAGTTAGTGGTTGCTACTAGTTATATTAATTTGACAAATTTTAAGTTGTATAAACATGTTGCAATGTTCTTTCTTTGCAATGCAACAACTGTAACCTGATCTTGGTCAACCCTCTCATCCCTCAAAGAAATTTTATGAAACTAATTCTTCTATTTATTGGGAGAATTACAAAGAAGTCTTACCTTAAGAAAAATATGACCATCAAGTGCTATCAATTAATAAAATTCTAGTAGGTTTGTTCATTGATATAATTGTTTTTTGTTTTCCTTGATTTTTTTTTTCCCCATTGACATGACTTGATGGTTTTATATTTTTAAAAGTAGGACTTCTTTGTAATTTTTCCAATTTCATTAGATATTTGCATTGTTGCATGCCCTTGCGGATACTACTATGACTTTTCTCGGGCCATGCCCATGCTTCAGAGAAATGAATACTGTTGTGAGATGGTGGAAATAGTGTCAATAGGAGATTAATGAGAGGAAAAAATGGAAATGGTTTGTACAATGAATATCAATAACTGAATTTACAAGGTTAAGTAACATAATTTACATGAGAAAGAGAGAGAGGGGGGGGGGCGGGGGGGGGGGGGGGGGGTGTTAGTGAAAGCATGATGAAGACCAATATTAATTCGGATTGAGATGGGAAAGGAAAAATAAATTGAACAAGACTTTATTGGGTTGAGTGACTGATCCTTGGAGGATAATGTTTTAATCCTTTGACGGTTCAGAGGTAAAAATTTGCAGCAATCCCTCTCCAGGCACTTGTGAACAAAAGGTGACATTTGTTGTGCTGTATCTAACTATTGTTTCTTTTTCCTGTTTTTGAGGACAAATCATTAAGTTCCTAAGATGTAGTATAAGTAAGGCTTTAAGTAAAGTTTTTATTATTTCATGCGAGCTAGCATTTACACACGCTTTCTTCTTCAAATTTTTTTCTTAATTCTTTTACTTCATCTTGGATAAATTGCATGCAAGTAAAGGTCTATTCCTTGATTCTAAGTCATCCCTTCACAGTAGGGATCAATATACAAACACACACATCAGGCAATAAAAATCGCAGTTCGGAAATTCACCGTGTGTCCAATTAGTTTGACCTTTCCACTATTTTGATTCTGCAACTTTGAATTCTGCTTTTTGAATTTTCCTTTAGTGAATAATATAATCCCGATGTTGCAGAAAGCCAAGTGACTGAAGAGAGTCAAGTTGCTGACACACCTGGGAGGCATCACTTACGTATACGTTCTGAGGTGAGTTTAACCTTTTCAGTTATTGTTATTGCTATAGCAAGTGAAACAGTTGTTTTTGGTTCATCACTCAAGTGAATGTATGCATTTATATATTGTTTCCGGTTTGCGAAAATGTTGAACCTTTTTTTTTTTCATTGAATAAAAATGTCGATCTTGTCTCAGTTTAGCCTTGGGTAATTTAAATTAGTTATGTTACTCTTACTGTTTTTTGAGTATCATTAGCTGTCTATCTGGTAGAGGTAATAAATATCTAATCTAAGTCTCTAACCTGTGATTTTCTGGTATTTGTAGTGAGTGATCTGAAAAAAATTAAAAAATTTGAGTTGGAAAAAGTTTGTAAAACGAGGCCATTCTTTTAGTGAAATTGCAATTAGCACACAGAAAAGCTTTATTTAGTGGATGTGCTTGTTTGATATCATATCGTAAGGAACATCTAAAGTCAAAAGTAAAGAACTGATAGTGCCAGATATTATGTAATGAGGGATGATTATAGATGTTGAAAGATAGAAAATATCAATATAATTTGGTCATTTATATGAAGAAATGAATTGAGATTGCTATAAATGTGAATTTATCTCTCTCTCTCTCTCTATATATATTTATATATAAATAAATAATTATTAAGTATTTGTATTTTAGTAAATCTAAAAAAACAGATCGGTATGTAGTGAGGATTGAGAATCAAGAGGTACAAAAAAAGTGAACATTTTCGTTATTTAGGTTCAATTATTAATAATGAAGGAGAGATATTGGAGATGACATTAATCAAAGAATTAAAAGCAGGATGGGTTAAATGGGGAATGCATCTAGTATATTGTGTGATACGCGTATCCACTATCCCATTTAGATTGAAAGGGAAGTAACATCGAACAACTATTAGACCAGAGATACTTTATGGCACAAAATGTTGGGCAACTAAGAAATAACATATGCATAAAGTGAGTGCGGTGAAAATGCGAATGTTGAGATGGATTTGCCGTAAGATAGAAATGATAGAATTAGAAATGGCCACATTTGGGAGATGGTTGGAGTAGCACAAATTGGAGAGAAAATAAGAGAATCGGTTAAGATGGTTTGGACACGTGCAAAGAAAACCTTTAAATGCACCAGTTAGAAAGAGTGTCATAGTCCACATTGAGTGAAATACTAGGGGAGAGGAAGGCCAAAGTTAAAGTGGATAAAGTTGGTAAAGAATGATATGATTTTATGTGGTTTGACTGAGGCTATGGCCTTAGATAGAGCAGAATGGAAACATAGGATTCATGTAGCCAACTCCAAGTAGTTTGGAAAAGGCTTGCTGTTGTTGTTGTTGTTGTAGTATTTTGGAAGTTAAATTTTGTTGACGGGGTGAGGAGCCTATGAAAGAACAAAAAATTTGATGACTCATTGTGATTTGTGAAGGGTTGGCTCTCCATCTACTAGCTACATGGAATATTCTAATAAATCCACATGTGAGCCAAGTAGGCATCCATAGGTCTCATTCTGGTTTGCTATGAATGCCTCAGGCTGCGTGGATGGCATTGTGGCAAAGCACCAAAACTTTCATGGGCAGAAGACGCTTGTGCCCGAGCTTGATTGCAAAAATATGAATTTGACATGTGTAATTACTTAGGTATTGATTTAATGGTAAAGGATGATAATCATTTCTTCCTTGTATCTGCGAGCAGAATTTGGTTTATCACAGGGAATTGCCTTTTCTATCAATTCCTACAAATTGTATCAAAAACTATTCTTGGATGAGGTACTGGAGAACATAGCCAAAGGAATGGCTAAGACAGCTGCTGATGCATTGGGTCACTTTGTTCCCAACACTAATTATATCTTCCCCACTTTTGCTCATCATATGAAGAAAAGATCATAAATACTTATTGTTGAAGGATTTATATATTTATGTTACACCCTCTCTAACAGCTTAAGCTTTTGGAGTAGATGGTAGGTATCAGAGCCAAAGGTCTCAAGTTCAAACCTCACCGTCACCCTAATTAAAAATTGAAACACACTCGTTGGACCAAAAAAGGCCACACGTGTGGGGGCGTGTTGAAGGATTTATATGTTTAAGTTACACCCTTTCTAACAGCTTAAGCTTTTGGAGTAGATGGTTATTTACACTTATAATAGCCATCTTCATTGATTTGATATGTTAAATGGAATCAGGTATGTGTCTTGGGGGCATGTATATGGAAAAATTTGTTGGATGTATCAGATCCTCCAAAAGGACACAAGGACATCGCTAAATAGGGCTGTATTGAAGCAAAAGTTAGTGAACTTAAATTGTTGGATACATGCGTTTTTTAGTGCATCTCCAACCAATTGTGTGGGACGCATATCTTATACCCACGTTCAGGTGTCTTGTGTCTGTTATGGGTTTTTCATGTATTGTTTAAAAGCCCATGTAACATAGATACTTGTAAGGATTAGTAATATTTTGTGCAACACCTTCTCCTGGACGCCAGATCCCCTCCCAATTCTTGAGGATCTTTTTTTCTGTTAACTAGCTCCTTGATAGAAAACCTTTGCCAACATGCCACTATGCCAGCATGCTCTTGATAACACCTGCATCCTTAGAAAAATTATCAGTCCTTAAGAAAATAAAGAAACCAAAAAGCAACTGAGGCAACTGGATGTGCATTTAAGCATCTCATATTTTATGCTGCTACTAAAGCTTAATAATCCCTTTCTCTTAGTCATGTAAACCTTCATAACACTTGGTCTGCTGAATACTATTTCCTCAAAAATATATTGAAGAAATCATGATCTGTAGGAATGACATATATAATTAAGAAAGGGTGTATTATATAGTTATAAAGCCTTTTTTATTTTTTTATCTGAATTTTTAAATCTTCAAAAAGAAAGAAAATATAAAATATGAACTCTGTTGGGAATTGGAAAAGTGAAACTCAGTTGTTATGTGTGACAGTGTGGTTTTTGAGTCTGAACATAGCCACTCCATGTCAAGGATGTTGGCGGTGGAGGTTAGGTATGTACTGATTCCACCAAATCAGACTTTTTCATAGTACTTGAACGGGTATAGGTATTGAAGTATTCAGACAAATTAGAAATCTATCAAGTGCTAGACTTACTAACTTTGGAACTTTAATTAAAACAACCTTAATCTGGTTGATTGGTTGTTCAATCTATAATTGATTTGAATTTATGGGGCTTTCTATGGGTTTTGATGCTGTCAGAAGTAAATTGCCTGCATCTCGATGGTTTGTCTGAAATTAAGAAAATGTTTCTTTCTTCATATCTTTTTCCAAGGGTTGGTTTTTTTTTTTTTTGATTGAAAGGTCACTGAATTGAACCAATCTGATCATTTTTCATTTGAGTTTACTGACTCGAAAATATGAGCGACTTGGGGATGGAAAGGGATCGTCTTAGGGTAAATCTAGTTAGTTAGTCATTGATGCTTCAGCTGTTGTGCTGGTTTTCCACAATTCCACCAGATTTGTTGTCTTGAGAACATGACGCTTTAGTAGTGTGAATGTATCTGATTAGTTGCTACCGTTATAAATAGTCAATAATACAGTACTTTTTTGCTCCTCAATTAAAGATTGCTGCCACATCTACTGGAAGCTCCCGGTATGCTCGGTCTAGGAGTCCTATGTATGACATGGATGATCATGGTAGGGTGAGAAGCGATTCCAGGGGTGACTCAAGAAGTGAAAGCAGGGAGTCAAGGAAGAGACGTAGTGACAGCAAAGAACAGAACCATGGAAGAGTATCACGTGGTCGATATGAAAAAGAGTATAATGGAGAATATGGAAGAAGACAAAGTAGATATGAAGGTTCCAGGAGGACACCTGGTATGTGTTTCTTTTTGTCTTTTTTGACATATTTGATCTTGTTTTCTATTTGATCTTCTTTTCCAAGATGTTTTTTCTTAAAGATAAATGGCATGGATGACGTGGTGGAAATAGGCTCAGAAATTGTTGTTAGAAATTTTTATAAGAAAAACTCTTTAAAGTGCTTCTGGTCTAGAGGATTGTTTTGGCTGTTTTAATCTGATTGAGTTAAAATGCATTAGCAAAGAAACAACTAAAACATGATGAGGCACAGTTTGGTTATATTTTGAAAGGTGCGCTTGGAGTCGAGATAATTTTTTTTCTTTCTTTCATTTTTAATGGAATTGAGAACCTTTTTCTCTCCCCCCTCGTTCTTTTCCCTTTTATTTATTTATTTATTTTGGGGGTGGGGGTTGGGGGGATGTGAGATGGTGATGTGTTGTAAGCATACAACATTCTTTGTACCAAATTATTCTAATCTTAACTAATTTTAGTAATCATTTGTTGTAATTATAAAAAGCAGCACGAATGGTCTGAACAAACATGACCTTAAGAAATGCTTTAAATTAATTTTCCCATATTACCAACGAGCTAGTGGCCTAGCGGTACCAGACCCCTTCTTCCCAAAGGGAGGTCAGGGGTTCAAGTTTCAGTGGAGGCATGTGTGTGTGACCAACTAAGAAAAAAAAAAAAAAAAAAAAAAAAAAAAAAATTCCCATATTCCCCCCTTCCCTCCCTTTGCAAAATTCAGAATCAAGAATAACTGGTTCTCAGATCATTTTCTATTGATTTTAGAGCTCACGATTTCTGAAACTTTCTAATATACCCAAACAAGCCCCTTATTTTCACATTTTGTTCACTTAAATCATTGAACTTGTACTTGAAAGAATATGTTTTCATTCATTGTCCATAATTTTTATTTATTGCACATACTAAAATATGCAAAACTTGCAGGCAGATCTGACTGGGATGATGGGAGATGGGAATGGGAAGATACACCATGTCGGGATAGTCACTCTAATGCCAGCAGGCGCCATCAACCTTCACCATCTCCAATGTTTCTTGGTGCCTCTCCTGACGCACGATTGGTATCTCCATGGTTGGGTGGCCATACACCAAATTCTGATGGTATGTCAATGAATATGTGATATTTTTTCAAGTTTCATGTTTTTAAAATTGACTGGTTACTGTTTGTTCCTTTGTTTTTTTTTTTTTTTTTGCCTTTTAAATGCTAATTTGTGGACATAATATTCTACACACTGTATATCAGCTCCTGCTGCTTCTCCCTGGGATAGCATCTCTCCTTCTCCAGTTCCGATACGGGCTTCTGGGTCCTCAGTTCTATCTTCAAGTTCTCGATATGGAGGAAGATCTCGTTCTCACAACCTTCATTTTTCTGCAGAAAGTTCGCAACCGTTGGAGGTACTTTATTTCTCACTTCGTTCAAATTATGTTTTCCTTAAAATTTTATGAAAAAAAGAAGGTACACATCTTTTTTAGATTTAGGGCCAAGGTTGAATGTGGACTATCATGCTTGTGTTTATGTATCTCTATTTTATTTATTAGCTATCGACCAAGTCAATGTCTTTATTTTCCCTTTTTCTTTTTTCATATATAGGATGGAGATGCTGATAAGAGCTATTCATCTAAAGATGACAATCAAGAGATCACTGAAAGTATGCGCTTAGAGATGGAATACAATTCCGATCGTGCGTGGTAATTTTTTAAAAAAATTGTCATCCAATATTGTTAATATATATATCCAATTTGTTAATATCAGTGCAAATTGTTCTTAGTTGACAGGCAATAACTAATAAAAAAATAATGACAGGCTATAACTGTTTGCAATTTACATGATGTCAATTATTTATGATGTACCTATTCAAGGGATGACTATGTTTAAAATTTTTCGTAGATAGAAAAGCCTAGATAGTATTAATTCCATAAGACATTTTAATTACATTGATTGTGCTCAATATGCAGTTTTTGCTCCTCTGTTTTTGGGTAATTTTTCCAAACTCCTTTTTGAGTTTGGTAAATGTTAACCGACATCAATTTTTGAACTCATCTCTCCATACTCTTTTGATTATCAGCTCCCGAGGCATTGTTGTGTTGGGGATCAGTATCCCCATACTGGTGTATAATTGCATGAGAAAATTTCTGTCACAGAATTAGGTGCTTTTTCATTATTCTTTAACCAATATGACTGTCATTGTATAGGTATGATAGAGAAGAAGGCAATACAATGTTTGATGCGGATAGCTCATCATTTTATCTTGGTGACGGGGCTCCCTTCCAAAAGAAAGAGGCAGAATTGGCCAAAAGACTGGTATGTGTAGAAATGTTTATAATATTGTTTTACTGTGGCAACATTTTTACCCCATAAGCACTATATGTAACTATTTATTTTGAGGATAATCCTGGTGGGTGCACATGTTCTGTTAATACTTGAGTATTGTGTTTTCTGTTTTGTTAAATTGTCACCATTGATTCAAACTACACATTTTTCATTTATTGATTTGGGTATTAAGGCTGTTTATTAGAGCATCCATGAGTTTTGTTAATGTGTCTATTTTAGCAGAGAAATTCTTGCTGTTCCGGTCCTGTTAAGTAATACTTGTACTAATGATGTTTTAATAAAAGTAACTGATGATCTTGAATCTCTATGAACTTCCATGACCGATCATATGGGGAGGCCAAAGTTTGTAAAGGAAATGAAGTTCAGAAAATTCATTCCTTAATCAAAACAATTTTGTTTTGTGGATGATTGAGACTTTAAATGATTACAAACTGTTCCTGGGAATTTATGGTCATGAACAAATTGACTATTTGACCACCCATAATGTGCAGTGTCTACTTGTGCTTTGTCCTTGTAACCTACATTGCTGTTTGACCTGGAGAAGTAAACTTGGAAGTTTGGCAGCGCGTCCTAGTATCGAAGTCCTTTCAAAAGGCAATTTTTATAAGAAATTCCATCTAAAGGGAATTTAATAGGGAAAAGATGTTTTTAGAGTAATTGTCACCTGACAATATTACCCATTAATATTATATGGCTCACTACAAAAGAAACGCAGTTTCAATACAACCAATTTCTTTTTATGTTCTTTGTACCTAACCTGACCCTACTATATGAAAATGTCACTAAAACTCACTTATAACCATGAAAAATGAAATAAGCTTGTAAACACAAATGACGCTAATAACACTGGACTTATGATCTCCTATGTAAAATTCTTATCCTTTTAACTTGTATCTTTACATACATAGTGACAAAAGAGGGGTAACACTACTAGCAGATGGCGGCACAATGGGTTACCCAAACATAAAATGGGCATTACCTAGTTCTAGTCCCGCCATGGCAGGGTTACGGGGAGGGAGGTCTTGAGACAGCTATACATAAATGGGTTATGTATGTATGTATACGCGTGTGTTCATGTATCAAAAATATTAATCGAGAAAAAGTAAATTGCAGCTACCTACCCTATTAGTCCAGACACCAAATAAGAACAACAAATGGACATTTTTTGCTCTCATTGTATGTTCGGATCTCTGTTTATAGCATGAGGTCCTTTACATGTAGACCAGAAAATTGAAAATCCTCATGATTGTTGATGATTTTAACCAATAGCGAGGATAAAACTTTTACGAATATCTATTGAAAATGTTATTTATGATGCTGACTAAGATAATCAAAGCTCTAGCAGATAACAGTATGGGAATCGCGAGCAGCATGGTAAACAGCGACATCCCTGCAACTGTGTAATCCGAACTTCACCAAGAACTGTATGAACTTCAACAAGTTTATACTTTGAGCCACAGGAGGAGGAGAAGGGTTGGTAGTGGCTGGAGATAGTGTTCAAAGTGGTGGTCTTTGTCTCGGTAGATGTGAGATTTCACAATTGCTTATAGAAAGAGAACATTGGAAGAAAGTGCAGAGAAATATAAGACTTGCAAGTAAAGAAATAAGGTTAATATGGCAAATGTACAAAAATACACAGGAAAATTTGCAACTTTTGCATTTTTTACTTAAATGAGTCTTGCTCCACCTGAAGCCGTTCAAGCAAATTTTAGCAGCTTTTACTGACCGAATTTATACTTTGATCCATAGGAGGAGGAGGAGAGTTGGTAGAGGCTGGAGATTGTGTTCAAACCGGTGGAGTCTGTTGCAGCAGAGCTAACGTTCCACCGCTCCTTACAAGGAGAGAACGTCAATGAGAGTGTATAGAGAAATATAAAACCTGTAGATAAGAAATAAGGTTAATATGGGAAAAGAAAAAAAAATGCACGGACAAAATTGTAACTTGTCTTTATTTCGTAAATGAGTCTTGCTCCACCCAAAGTTGTTCAAGAAGCAAGTTGCAATAGCTTTTACTGAACGGATTTTTGAACCATTGGATTTTTCTAGATGTTTTTTTTTTTTTTTTTTCAAACCAAACACTTGCTATTATTGGGGAAGGACTTATTGAGCTTAGAGCCCATCTTGAGCTCTCACGAAGTCCCCCCAAACGCTAGCCTAGTTACTAGGTAAAATATTCAAGGATTAAATAATTACTTGCAACCATAGCAAAGAGGAATAATTGTTTTTCTTTAATTTTTTTTTTCTCCAGGGTGGGGGATGTTGTAATTTCAGTCTGCCCAATGTCGAACTCCTTAAAATTGTAATGTTCCCCATGTGCATTAAAGTATGCTCGGCGTGTCATTACCCAGTATTCCTATTAGAGGGTCTTATAAGAGGTGGCCTAAACATAAACGTAACCTTTGGCATTATTTGCGCAAAATGGCTGCTTTAAGATTTGCATCCTCATTCTCATGCTTGGCTGTACAAACATTTCACTAGTGCACCAAGCTATAGGCCTAACTAATGGAACCTTTTATAATATATAATGGTAGATAGCTATTGTTAAATTTTTATATTCGCTAGAAGTATGTAATGATCCTTATCCCCCTAAAAGATATATCTTATATAGGAATTACATTTACACTGCATCCAACAATTTTATACCTCTTCAAACTTAAAACTTTTTACAATCTAAGGATTAAATGCATTTTTAAAATATTTACTTCTCATAATAACAGAAGTTAAAATATGATGCCGATATTTTGGGTGATTAATGGCATACATTCTATTTTTTTTGGGAAATATAAAACTAGATAAATTCGGTTGTTCTCTTTCTAAAAGTAACTCTGACCCTAATACATAAAAACTAGGATAACTCAATTCTTTTTTTTGGTTAAGCAAAATTAATTCAATATTTTTCTTTTTGATATTAGAAAGTAAAATCAGAAAACAAAATTAAGGATATGACACCTTCATCTTATCCTCAAAAGAAAATTAATTCAGTTTTGTAATATAATTTTTTTTTATAAAAAGAAGAAGAAGCCAGTTTTGAGGTTAGCTACTTTGTTCAGGAAGGGGAAAAGGACACAGTACTGCATCCCAAGCCCCGCCCTTGTGGGATGGAAGTGTTTCTTCCTAGTTCTACCATTGCCATGGGGCTTAATTGAAATTTTCTACTTTCTGCTAAAATATTAGAGAGTTTTTATATAAGCATTAATTGAGTTGAAAATACAAACGGTCTTTCTTTTCAAATCAGAATTTAGAATAGTTACTCTTAGCTAATTTTGAAGGTACAAGTGGCAAATAGTGGTAGATATTGAGCATGTATTATTACCTTGTAGTAAACTAATTTTCCATCCGTTCACCAGATTTTATTATGTTTATGCAGCAGGTGCTTATCACGTTTTCAATGTGGAACAGAATATAGACTCGCATCTTGAAATTCATTAACAAAGAAATATTTTTTGGAGTGTGTAAAGCTTTCTCAATCCTTGTAGTTAATTTAGCAAATAGGCTAAGGAAGCCAGTATGGCCTGTAGGGGATTCACTATTTTGTTACACCGCATTTATGATTTATGTTTTATTGAGTGTTGAACTAGTAGCGTTGTATTTGGTTTTGATAAGTCAAAACAGTTATGTCATAGCCTCAAACCTGTATAACTCTTAAATTTTGGAAAATAAAGTAGATGTGCTCTATGGACCACTGAATTTTTATCTCATCTAAATGTGAGCAGAATAAAAATGTGAGCAGTTATTCAAAATATCACATGCAATAAAAATGCATAGATTTGTACATTTGATTGCCTGTTTTGTTTTATAAGTACATTGATCTTTATGAGTATCTTTGTATGTTTTGGATTAATATTGTATTATTGTGATTTTTAGATAAAATTACACCGACATTTTTACATGGCAACTCTTCAACTAATTGTGGTTTCTGAACTACAGGTCCGAAGGGATGGAACCAAGATGACACTTGCTCAGAGCAAAAAGTTGTCACAGCTCACAGCTGATAATGCTCAGTGGGAGAATCGGCAACTTATGAGATCTGGAGCTGTTCGAGGTACCGAGGAGGTGCAGACTGAATTTGATGACGAGGAAGAACGGAAAGTAATGCTTCTTGTTCACGGTTAGTATACTAATGAGAATCTTTCAAACAATTGACAGAAAATGATGCGATCTATCCCCCCTGCAAAGATTTTTGCGATTTTCTTTACCTAACGTTTCCACTATGTTTTCTTTCCATAGATTTAAAACCTCCTTTTCTTGATGGGAGGGTTGTTTTCACAACGCAAGCGGAGCCAATAATGCCATTAAAAGATCCCACATCCGATATGGCTATAATATCACGCAAAGGATCTGCCCTGGTTCGGGAAATTCATGAAAAACAAAGTCAGAACAAATCTCGTCAACGTTTTTGGGAGCTTGCTGGCTCAAAACTTGGTGATATCCTTGGGGTTGAGAAGACAGCAGAACAGGTACAATACCTTCAACATTTTATAGAATTTATATACTTATTTACTTGGTCTATATTTAATTACAAATGTGTGGATCTGAAGCTTTTCTTGTAAATATTGGTTTTAGATTGATGCAGACACTGCTGTAGTGGGTGAAGATGGCGAAGTTGATTTCAAGGAAGATGCTAAGTTTGCACAGCACATGAAGAAGGGGGAAGCAGTGAGTGATTTTGCAAAGTCAAAGACATTAGCACAGCAACGGCAGTATTTGCCCATATATTCCGTACGGGATGAGTTGTTGCAGGTCTGACACTTGTTCGTTTGTGTGCTTTCCTTCTTTTTTATATGAAAGCCTACCAATTTGCTTGTTTATAACTTTGCTCGAGTAATTCCATCTAGGACTTCCTCTTTGTAATATTGAGGAATTTGTGGATCATATTCAGTTTTTCTAGTCTCATTGTTTGAATACTAAAAAAATTGGTTAGCCTTCACAAGACTGATTGTCAAGTTCTGGTTATCTAATTCTATCGATTGCTTAGTAATATATATATTTTTTACTTCTTTTATTATGGGAGGTTTTGGGGAAGGGGGTGTTTTAATTTTGAAGATTGGATTGTTGGTATCAAATGGTTTGTCTGGTCAGTTCTTTGATCTTGTGGGTGGGAGGCCAAAGACTAGGAGTCTTAAACTAAACCACAAGATGTAGACTATTGAATCATAAATTTTACTGTCTTTGCTTTGCAGCTGTTTCTGTAGTCTAAAGTCTTTTTTTCTTTTGTCCAAAGCAATATGATTGTGATCCTTGATTATATTCATAGCTTTATATTGTCCTCCTTCAGTCCTTAGTCCTTAGTCCTTAGTCCTTACTCGATGTGTTGGTTTAAGAAGTGATGACATCACTGACTGTTCCTTGACTTTTCCTTTTTTGTTCATTGGCTATGCTATTTGGACAGTTCAAACCTTGTCTTTGCTGTTATATTCTAATTCAATTCCAACTTTCCATGGAATAGGTAGTTCGTGAAAATCAGGTGGTGGTGGTAGTTGGAGAAACTGGCTCTGGAAAGACAACACAATTAACTCAGGTTTGCTATACTTGTAATATTTATGGCCAAGTAATGAGGTAGTAAGTATGATATGATCTTTAGTCTCATTTTTTGAAATTGTTGGCAGTATTTACATGAAGATGGCTACACGATAAATGGTATTGTGGGCTGCACCCAACCAAGACGTGTGGCAGCTATGAGTGTTGCCAAAAGAGTTAGTGAAGAGATGGAAACTGAGCTCGGTGATAAAGTTGGTTATGCCATTCGTTTTGAGGATGTGACTGGACCGAAAACCGTAATCAAGGTAACTATTAACTAGTGGTTTTGTTGGTTGAAACCACCTTATTGTTTTCATACTTAATTAGCCATGGATTAGCTTGTTCGGCATTTCTAATAAGTTGTTTTCTGGTATATGTTGTTTGTTGACGGTGTCATTGTAATTTATGAAACTAGAGAAGGTTAAATTAAGTTGGGGATACGTAAAAATAGTTTTATTCTAGAACTTTATATTAAGACAGACTATGACCAAAATATATGGAGTCTAACTTTGAAAAATTAAAAGTGGAAGTGAAGGTAGTGAAACTTGATAGTCAAATAAGAGTGGCTTTTCAGATTTCTTGTACCTGTCGTCTACGGGTATTGAGAGTTTATGAAGGATGTTGCCGTAGAATTAGAGTAAGATGGATGAAATGGAAAATCAATTTGGAGCTTTGTTGCCATAGAATTAGAGATTTTCTTGGACTGATACCAAACTATTTGTCCTGGTCCTGTTTTTTGTAAAGTATTTCCTTTTCGTAATTCCAATAGTGAGAAATTTTTTGTTCAGATAACTAGGAAAAGAAAAAAAATTTGTTTGTTCAGATGCTATTTGACTAATATATGAGACTTCATTTTGTTTATTACTTTTTCCGATACGGACATTTGTTACAATGAGTATTTGCAATTTTATTTTACAGTACATGACTGATGGTGTACTATTGCGTGAAACACTGAAAGATTCTGATCTTGACAAGTATCGGTATGACATTTTCATTTTAGTTTTTAAAATTGGAATATTAAGGTTATATATATATGTTCTGCCTAAACAGGCATTGTTTACCAATGATGCAGTGTCATTGTGATGGATGAAGCACATGAGAGATCACTAAACACCGATGTGCTTTTTGGGATACTCAAGAAAGTTGTTGCTACGCGTCGTGATTTTAAGCTTATTGTGACTTCTGCAACTCTAAATGCTCAGAAATTCTCAGACTTTTTTGGAAGGTAAACATTATTATTTGAAATTTTGAACTATGCTATTATCCACTGCATCCATGCACTTAACGAGTAAATATTGATTTTGTTGCAGTGTACCAATTTTTCCCATCCCTGGAAGAACATTCCCGGTGCAGATCTTGTATAGTAAAACACCATGTGAAGATTATGTTGAAGGTGCAGTGAAGCAGGCCATGACTATCCACATTACAAGTGCTCCAGGTGACATACTCATCTTCATGACCGGCCAAGATGAGATTGAGGCAACCTGTTATGCCCTTTCAGAGCGCATGGAGCAGCTCGTATCCTCCACAAAGCAAGCAGTCTCTAAACTTTTGATTCTTCCCATATACTCCCAGCTGCCAGCTGATTTGCAGGCAAAAATATTCCAGAAAGCTGAAGAAGGGGCCCGCAAGTGCATTGTGGCTACCAACATTGCTGAGACATCCTTGACCGTTGATGGAATATACTATGTCATTGACACTGGTTATGGTAAAATGAAGGTGTACAACTCAAAAATGGGAATGGATGCTCTCCAGGTTTTCCCCATTAGCCGTGCTGCTGCTGACCAGCGTGCTGGACGTGCTGGTAGAACTGGACCCGGCACTTGTTATAGACTTTATACTGAGAGTGCATACGCGAATGAAATGTTGCAAAGTCCAGTGCCAGAAATCCAGAGGACAAATCTGGGCAATGTGGTTTTGTTGCTGAAGTCTCTCAAAATTGAGAACTTGTTAGATTTCGACTTCATGGACCCTCCTCCACAGGATAACATCATTAATTCCATGTACCAATTGTGGGTCTTGGGTGCTCTTAACAATGTGGGAAACCTAACTGATGTTGGTTGGAAAATGGTGGAGTTCCCATTGGATCCACCACTTGCTAAGATGCTCTTGGCGGGAGAGCAACTAGGATGCATAGATGAGGTTTTGACAATTGTATCAATGCTTTCAGTGCCATCAGTGTTCTTTAGGCCTAAGGACAGGGCGGAGGAGAGTGATGCTGCCAGGGAAAAATTCTTTGTTCCAGAATCTGACCACCTCACGCTATTAAATGTTTACCAGCAATGGAAATCTAATCAATACCGGGGTGATTGGTGCAATGATCATTTTTTGCATGTAAAAGGGTTACGGAAAGCAAGAGAGGTGAGATCCCAGCTACTCGATATTCTGAAAACACTGAAAATCCCACTCACATCCTGTGGTCCTGATTGGGATATTGTGAGGCAGGCTATTTGTTCTGCATACTTTCACAATTCAGCAAGGCTTAAAGGTATTGGGGAGTATGCTAATTGCCGGAATGGGATGCCATGCCACTTGCACCCAAGCAGTGCTCTGTATGGTTTAGGTTACACCCCAGATTATGTGATTTATCATGAGTTGATCTTGACGACAAAGGAGTACATGCAGTGCGCAACATCTGTAGAGCCCCAGTGGTTGGCGGAGCTGGGTCCCATGTACTTTGCAGTGAAGGACTCAGATACATCAATGTTGGAGCACAAAAAGAAGCAGAAGCAAGAGAAAACGGCCATGGAAGAGGAGATGGAAAATTTGAGGAAGGTCCAAGCAGAGCTAGAGAAAGAGGACAAGGAGAAGGAGAAGGATAAGAGGGCTAAGCAGCAGCAACTAGTCTCAATGCCCGGCTTGCGTCAAGGTTCTACCACTTACCTCAGACCTAAAAGGTTTGGCTTGTAATTGTAATCTATGTTATGTTGTATCAAACAGATTAGCAAGATATTTTCTTTAGTAAATAACAATTTTTTGTTGATACCTTTACTTCAGAAAGAATCTGTCTATTTTGACAAGAGTGTACAGAATACAGGTTAAAAGATGAGATAATATACAGTATGACATTTTAGATCTTGTATTTTGTGTCTGTTGGGGGTATTCTAGTTGTTAAAAAATCCATTTTCCTGTTAGAACCTAGTTAACCAGAGAGTTCTCTGTGGGTGAAACCATTCCATGAGAATATACTTACTAAAAGCCAATATGCAGGTTTCTTCTGACTAATCTGATTTGTGAATTTTTGTGTGTATATGGTTACCGGAAAAATTCTCTACGTTAATTAATCTTTAGATGGAAGTGTTAAAGTGAAACTTTATAACACGTATTACTAAAGCCAATGCAGGTTTCTTCTGACTATTTCTTTGTTTCTGTCGCAATGGTGAAGAACAAAGTTTTGCTTGAGGAGGTCAGGGGTCCTATAGCCTCCTCTTTTAGGGTTTGAGTTAGACCATCTTTAAGAAATGCCCTCCTCTTGCCGGGGTGTATGTTGCAGGAACTTTCTATGAAGTTAAGGGCCATATTCAAGAAATGCCCTCTTTTTGGGTGCAAGTTAAGGACCTGTCTTCATGAAATGCCCCTCTTTTTGGGGTGTATATCGCAGGAACTTGCAATGAAATTAAGGACAATCTTCAAGAAATGTCCTCCTCTTTTTGGGGTGAATATTGATGGAACTTGCAATGAAGTTTTAAGGCCAATCCATATGCTCTGATTTTCATTGAAAGTTCTGTAACATTGTGGAAAGTGATATTTGGCATTCAAAAGAGACGATAAAGTTGAGTCAAAGAAGTAGACGAGAGAGAAAAAGGATAAGATGGAATGAAAAAGTGCTCTCTACTTCGAACATGTGAAAAGTAGTTTTGGGTGCTTGAACATGGCGTCTACTTTGAAATTATTTAGTCAAGTTCCCAGCGTTACATAATTACGTGGAAACTTTATCATATAGTTATGAAATATTTAAGCTAAAAGTTTATGTAAAAAAGTGTCCTCACTTACCATTAGGTAGTTTCGTCCGGGTCCCAAGTGTAGGACCATTTTAAGGAAATATGAAAAGATGTAGATTTAAAAATAAAAAATAAATAAATAAATAAATAAAAATGAAAATTCCAACCAATTTCATCTGAGAGAAGATGTAGCAAATTAGGTCTCATGAATTTTCGTATGATTTTCAAGTTCGACAACGTAATTTTTTATTTCGAATCTCTCTTCTCCTCTTTTGAGATGGAGATATAATATCATTGAACTAAATGTCCTTTGAGAAAAATAAATGATATATATACACATTAGACTATTCTTTTGAATCGGAGCTACAATTTAAAAGTCAAATATTAATAATGATTCACAAGCCTCCAATGAATGCTTAAATTAAGACTAGAAGTTGAGATTTCAATATAGTAACCATAAGACATTGCCATCTGAATTCAATTTAAACTTGATGAACCTCGATATAAGGAGTCTCTTTTCATTGGCAAAATTGAGTATATATATATGTGTGTGTGTGTGTGTGTGTGTTAATGTTAGATGCGTGCACAATATATTTTTCATGTTTTTGTTGATCAACCGCTCATCAAGTTATGTAATAGTGTCGAAAGTGTTATTACCGAGTTTCAAGTGCAAATATTAAAGTTTGAGTTTGCAATTTTTATTTCTTTTAAAAGCAGAATTGTCCATTTTAATAATAATAATAAATAAATAAAACAGATTCTCACTTAAGCAATGTTTGAAAGTACTGAACGATTAATTAAAATTTTAAACCAAAAGTTTTCAAATTTTAATTATAAAAACATTATTTTTCTCGTAAACTCTTAATCAAATCTTGTACAATTCTTATATAATCTCGTACTATTCTTTTATTGAAACTTAAATTCATACACCCTTTTCAAAGGTGAAAAAGGTAGCACTTTAACTATGACAATTATGTTAATTCTCACAATTTTTTGGAATATACGTGGGGATAGATAACACCAACAACAGCATATTAAAAGTTAAAACAGTCAAAAATATAATAAAAATAAAATAAAACAAATATTTTATTACCTGGGCCAAAACTATGTTTCCAATTCTTAGAATCTAGACAAAAACCCAAAACCAGGCCCATGACTTGTGGCTTCCTAGCAACTTGCAAAAGTCCACATTTTCAACTGTCATCGACCTAGCAATTTCTCATCTATTTCTTCCTTTCAGTGTATTTATAGTCTGCCCACGAAAAAAAACACAAAACCGTGGCTAAGACGAACTTTACAATGCAAACCCGCCGAAACGCGTCCTAATTACACATATATATCACACACACATGCACACAATCCTCGTACAAACTAACTACTGAGCCAACCAAGCAGACACCAATATATTGTGTCTCAATTTTCACTAAAACCTACTTCTTTTTTTCTTGCATTTTTTTTTTTTGTAAGTAAATTCGTTCAATTATTATTTTTTACCATGAACAAAAGCATTAGTGAATATGAGCGTATGTTCAATTATTTTGATGAAAATGGTGATGGAAAATTGTCACCTTTGGAGCTGCAACGTCGCGTCGGGGTGATAGACGAAGGGTTGCAGGTGGAGGAGTTGCAGCTGGTGGTTGAATCTCTGGACTCGGACGGAGATGGGTTGCTGGGGTTGGATGAGTTTGTTGGTTTGATGGAGAGCAGTACTGAGGATGAAGAAGAGAAAGTGAAGGACTTGAGGGAGGCTTTTGGAATGTATGAAATGGACGATTGTGATTGCATCACACCTAAGAGCCTAAAGAGGATGCTTAGTAGATTGGGTGAGTCAAGGACGGTTGATGAATGTGTCACCATGATTAATCATTTTGATCTTAATGGTGATGGTGTGCTTAGCTTTGATGAGTTCAAGGTTATGATGCTAACATGAGTTTTGTATGTATTTGTGTGTGTGTGTTAATTTGTTAGAATCGATGTGTGCGGCTTTCTTAGCTGGTTTATAGATCGATGAATGTAATGTGGTTGTATTTGAAATACAACACATATTGGTTTGTAATCCATGTAAGTCTCTGAAATTCAATAATACTAATTGGGTTAATTAATCTGTTTTGTATAGTGAAATATATAATAAATGAGATTCCCTCTACTCATGTATTTTAGGATAAATTTTATATGTTTTTACGGACATTGTGGCGTTGACAGGGATTCAGAAGATAAGTGATCGACGTCTCGCTTTCGAACCACATTCCGAACTTGAATACTGCGTGTGTCAAGACAAATAAATTTTTATATGATCTAAAATTATATGACCCGGTTAATTATAACACCATATGCAAATATATTTGTCAATTTTATTTTTATTTTACATACTTGTCGTGTTGTGAATTGGCCTAAAGCATGTAATGTTGAACCAGAAGGAAGAAAAGTAAAAAATTAGTGAAAGGTTTTATTTCCAAACTTCATTTATGTTTTGTTGAAGATAGGGTAAATTACTTGTACAAAGAAATTTTGAAGTAGGGGTGAACAAAGTATCGATAAAATTGTTAGAAATTGGTTTCGGTTCCTACCGGTTTCGGTTTCGATTTCAATTGTTAAAAACCAATAAGAACGGTTTTGATTTTGGTTCCAAACTTCAGAACCGGAACCGGTGTATAATAATTACATACATTATAAAATTACTAATATATATGCCTGTTGATGCCTACAAAGATATATATATAATAAATGTATTTTTTCATGTACAATATTATATGTCAAAGTTCCTACCGGTTTCGGTTTCGATTTCAATTGTTAAAAACCAATAAGAACGGTTTTGATTTTGGTTCCAAACTTCAGAACCGGAACCGGTGTATAATAATTACATACATTATAAAATTACTAATATATATGCCTATTGATGCCTACAAAGATATATATATATATATATATATATATATATATATATATATATATACAATATTATATATCAAAATGCACTAAGAATGAATTTAGAGTTATTAAATTATTATTTTAAAGGAAAAAAAATCAAAATTGAACCGAAATCGTAAAACTGATTCCAATTTCTAAAAATCATTAACAATGATTCTAATTCCAATTATGCCATAACCATAGGAATCGGAATCGTGTGCACCTAATTTGAACTGTAATTGGGTTATCAACTATATTGTGCCAAGAGGAATTAATATTTGATATGGATAAGGGGATTGATGCAGACATGTCTACGCCATGGTCAACTATAATTATAATGGGACCAACGGAGGAGCTGGATATGGCTCAGGCAGCCAGGGGGGCCAGGGGGCCCTGAAGTATTTAAAGGTGTCCAAAAATGGCTCCCCCGAAATTTTCAATCTTGAGTCTTATTAATCGTTTACACCCCTATAGCTTTAGTTTCTCAAATTCATTTACAAATATACCGTATATAGTTAACCTTAATTAATTAAATAATTAAAGTTACTCCACGATTTAATTCGATACCATTTTTTGCGTAATTAAAATTGAAATCATTTCTAACGATTTCTAAAAATTAGAATCGAAACTATTGAGGCATGGAACCGAACCGAACTAATTTCATGGTTCTAATTCTCTCTTCTTTTTTTAAAGCAATACCTTGACTAAGACAATTACTTAGGTCATATTTACATCCAAACAAGTATGAATACACACACACACACACATATATATATGGTAAATATAGGCATATATATTAGTAATTATATAATTAAAAATAATAGTTTATATAATTAATATATGCACCGGAACCGTTAGAAACCAAAACTGGAACCAAAGCACCAATTGCAGTTCCGATTCCGGTTCCAAATCCTAATGGTTCCATCGGTTCTTTGTGCATTCTAAATATAAGTTTCAAACTTTTATTTGTTTGTGAAACCAAGCTGCTTAAAGTCTCATATGTCAAATTCCGAAAAACAAAATAAGCAAAAAAAAAAAAAATTGAAGTGTGAAAGTTCAATATTTATTACTTTTAAGTTTCATTTCTCCTAAATTTATTGGCAAAAAGTAACTTTTAGTATGAAATGTCAATAATGTATGTATTTTACATCATAATAATATAATATATGTATTTTACATAAAGAAAAAATAAATTTGTCATTTAATAAAATTATGTCACACATGGGGGAAAAGAAAGTACTTAGGGATGTCGTGGAGCAAACGCATAAAATTTAATATAAAGTCAAAAGTAATAAATTTAGGTTGCAACTTGGATGGGCTAGAGGTCTAAGTTGAGCCCAACCCGACATATAAAAAGTTTAACCCAAAATCTATCCTGACCCTACCTTCTGTTGACACCCTTTTTGGTAAATTTTGTATTAATAACATGACAACCAATTTGGGTATAAATTGACACGTGAAAAAGGTAACAGAAGCTGCATGAAAAGGTGGAAGATTGGAGAAACTTTGAATTAACTAATGGATAGGGATCAAGTGCTAGTATTTATCAGTTACTTGGTTTTAATTAAATATTTATGTTTATCTATAGGTTTAGTTTAATTTAAATTAATAATTGATTAAGTGATAGAGTTGTAATGCAAGTAAAATATTTGCATATATAAGTTTGTTTCTATGTTTTATTCTATAAATAATCAAAGAGGCATGCTGAGATAGAGGTCCAGTACCCTCAGAATCATTTTATTATTGTGTTTTGTTTTCTCAAGCTCTTTTCCAAAATAGCATCCTTGCTATTTCTCTCCATCCGTATCTCTTTTATTTTCTCTATCTCGTTCTATCTCTCTCTCTTAATCTTTCTCTCTATATTTTTTTTCTATATCTATTTCTTTCCCCTTTATATTCTCAAAACGTTACTATAAATTATTCATTGTAGAGTCCTTTTAATTAAGGCAATTCTTGAACTCAAAGAGGAGTTTTACTATTCTCCTTATCCTTGCATCGTCTGATAGTCAGTATTCTCAAAGAGACTACAAGTTGACAACTCACACTCGAACCATACAATTGATTTTGGCATGCTCGTATCATATCAATTCCGAATCAGATCTAAGGAGCCGATTTTAGCGTCAATATTCTTGGCACGCCCGGTGGGACCCTATTAGGTGAGTGATTTATATTAAAAATATGCAGTCGGCTTCTCAACCGATGTACAAATATTCCGATCGGTCAAATCAGCCGATGTACCAGTATTCTAATCAGCCATATGATTGGCCAAACGATTATCGACATGTTCCAGCAGTTGATTATTGGTAGACGCCAACAGTCGCTGATTATCGGCATGTTCCAACAGTCAATTATCAGCAACCAGTTACTGATTATCGGCAAGTTTCAGCAGCCAATTATCGGCAAGTGGTAAATCAGTCACAACTGATGACTTATCAACAACAAAGTTGGATAAACTATCAGCCTGATACTGAAATCGGCCAGCCTTGCCGATCTCGGTAGGAAATTTTACTAGAAAATCGGCAGCAAAGTTTGCCAGAATATTACCAGTCACCAGCAGCCAATTATAATTAACAAATAGGAGAGTTTAATAAGATATTTGCCCAAATGAGGAAGGAGATTAAAGCAATGATGGCTCAGATATCGGCTACCCAGAGTCGCCATAATCAAGCCGAAAGCTCGGCATCTCATGAATCAATTCTTCAACATATTTCTTTGCCATTGACACACATCCCTCAGGTACAATAGACTACAACGGCAAGGCATAGCCAGCCAAGTGTAACTATTAGTTTACCCATCGGCAATCTGCCGATAATAACAGAAATACCATTGATGCCGATTGAGCCGAATGTAAAATCAGCAAAGGTTATTCTACAACGCCCACCGGTTATGCCAATTCCCCCTCAAAGAGAATAACAAGAAATAGGGGAGATTGATCAGGAGATTAAAGAATTTATGGCTCAGCTTATCCAGGCCGAGGTAGCTCAAGGGCGTAAACGTGCTTAGTTTGTGTACAGGAAACCTTATCCTGACCAGATGGTAAATTAGCATGTCACCCCTGTATCACAACATCTATTACATGAGGGGCTGTCGATAACCAGTACCGAAATTGACCAGTCCTGTCGACCTCGGCAGGAAATTTTATCAGAAAATCGGTAGCAAGGTTTGCAGAATATTATCAGTTACCGACTGCAGATTATCGGCAAGTTCCAGCAGCTGATTATTGGCAGGCGCTAAATCAGTCATAACAGATGACTTATCAACAACAAAGTTGGAAAAACTATTAGCATGTTATTGATGATGTTGGGAAATGTGCATGTTTAAAAAACTTTTTAAGGGATTTTGATTCATAGATCTTGATTCATCACATAGAGACAAGTTTTATGCAAAAATAAAATATGGTGTATCATTCAATTAACAGATTGAATACTTACATCAAAGGTTTGAGTAAACCTTTAAATCTTTTCTCTAAAGTGAATGCTCTCACTTATTGTAGATCCCTTACCAAGATGCCTTTTCCTCGGATCTCCATCTTCTTGGTAATTATTTTACCTTTAGGAATCACTAATAAGCCTCCATGAATGACGTTAGAAAATTAGGCTTGTGGGAGCCTCCATTAGATGAGAATATTAATCCTAATTTTCTAGAGAGAGAAAATATATTCCTTTTTCCTTCTTCCAAAAATCACCCCTAAAATATATATAGACCAGGTATATATATAGGCAACATAAAGATAAAGAAAAGGAAATAATAAATCATTCTCAATCTCTAATTCATATGTCTTCAATTTAATAGGATTCCAATATCAAGTTGGGCTATGAGTGAGAATCCCATTAGACTTATTATTTTCTTGGTTACAACGAATTAATAATCGGTCCGGTCTATGGACCCAATTCAATTAATTCATTAATTAATTTCTACTCTACTAAAAGAAATTAATTGAACTCCAATTAAATAATAAATAACCTCTAAGTCAATGTTGCACATTGACCCCTCTATGCATAATTAGTTATCGGATAAATAAAGCCAACAATCCGACTACTTAATTAATATATTTATTTTGGTACCTTTGATTATTTCTGACTCGATTACAATAAAAAATTTGTTTGACAAACATAATAATTTAAATAAATAAATATATAATAAATCATTTTGTCTAAAAACACACGAAGGCCTTCGAATTT